AGGGCAACCTCCTCTGTTGTGGGCTCAGCAGCAGCTTGGGCATGTGTGTGGATTGCGCATGGGTCAGTGTCATGCTGTTGGTCTAATATGTCCCACGCCAGCTGTTGAGAATTTGAAACAGTCTCTTGTCGGCACTCCGCAAGCAGAGCAGACGTGAGTGACTCTGGGGTCTCAGCTGTGGTAGCCGGCCTCATTGTCGTGTCACGCTGTGTAGGTCTGACATCGTCAGCATGCTTGCAAGTTGACACTTCTGAGCTGGTGCTTGGCTCCGCGGATTCCAGTAGGTTCCATGCTAGCTGTTGAGAGCTTGAAACATTCGACATAGCAGCGGCGAGTGCGGCGGAGGCTATGTCATCCGCTGTGGTTGCACCGGACACAGGCGTTCTCTGAGCGGTGTGTGTGTTGGCTGTCGATCTTCGGTTGGGCGACGCAAATCCGAGTTGCTCAGGTTGAGCTGCCCCTGGCTTGGGTACGGTACTAACGGCTGGCTCTTCTCGTACGGTTACGGTGTTCTTACAGTTCGACTTCCGTCCTGGCGCGCAGCTCGTGCACTTACGATTCTCTTTAGCACATTTGCATTTGTAGCAGGTGCCATTGCCGTTGCACCGGCAACATTGGCCCTTGGTTTCCAGATGACGACCCCCTGGTGGTCCTTCCATGCTGTCCGCCATACCGTCAAAGCATTGTGCGATAGAGTCGTCCGCAGAGGTACAAAAAACTTTACGACGCAGAGCTCCAAAAACTACGACCAGAATCAGTGCCCCAAAGCTGACAGGATCGCTTTTCTAAATTTGAGAACTAACTACGAGTTACTTGTGGTTTCGTAACAACAACTGTTACACGTGATGACACCTTTCTCTAATGCACGACCGATCGCGGGTCGTCATTCGTTAAAGGGGAAGTTAAGGCAAAAATTAAAATTTCACCAGTTGTAGTCTTCGGGGTGCTGAGTCGAATGGTCGTGGTCCGAGGAAGCTGAGACGCTCCCTTCCTACTTGAATCCCAATCGAACTCGCGCACTTCCACCGAAACTGGGTGACTGCGCCCTACTAGATGGGGATTTGTATGCAAAATGTCACTAAAAGCGCCATTTCGTTCTTATAAAAGCATGGATGACCGCGATTGGCCCATATGTTGTAGTCATTTGGACGCTGAGTCGATTGGTTTTGGTCCGAAAAGGCTGCGATGCAGCGTTCCTCCTTTATTCCCAATCGAACATGGTTGAACAAGCGGTCACGTGCTCCTGCGTACGCCAGTCAGCTGGTCACCGTGCCTGCAGGGTTACTTACTAGCCTGTTTGACCTTTTTTGGGTGCAATCCTGTCACTCGAGTTGAACCTTGGTGTGAAAGTTGTCGCCTGCTGGCGTGGTGACCAGGTGATTTGGGCACCCAGGAGCACGTGACCGCTTCTTCAACCATGTTCGATTGGGAATAAAGGAGGAACGCTGCATCGCAGCCTTTTCGGACCAAAACCAGTCGACTCAGCGTCCAAAAGACTACAACATATGGGCCAATCGCGGTCATCCGTGCTTTTATAAGAACGAAATGGCGCTTTTAGTGACATTTTGCATACAAATCCCCATCTAGTAGGGCGCAGTCACCCAGTTTCGGTGGAAGTGCGCGAGTTCGATTGGGATTCAAGTAGGAAGGCTAGCTTCTATCTCCTTACGTTTGAGATTCAAATTGTTCGTACTTATTTACAGATCATTACATAAGGTGTGCAGCCCGCTCTTAACAGACTGTTTTGTGACTAGAGTCAATGCCACACACACAGCGTCAATCACCCGCTCGCAGGTTACTCTGTCTCTTGCTCTTCCCCCGGCTAATAACCGCTATGGCTTGTACGCATTAAGCTTCTTAGGTGCAGATCGCTGGAATTCGCTCCCTGCTTCTGTTCGTATTTGCTCCACGCTATCAGACTTCCGCTCATCTATACAAAAACATATAGGGTACCCCGTAAGAAGGCCTTAGGCCTGTGGGAATGCCCTATTAAAAATTTAATAAATAATAATAATAAGGGAGCGTCTCAGCTTCCTCGGACCACGACCATTCGACTCAGCACCCCGAAGACTACAACTGGTGAAATTTTAATTTTTGCCTTAACTTCCCCTTTAAGGTTGACTCAATAGTACATCCCCCCCCCCGCCGTTCAGTGCATTTCCCGCAAGTGTGGCGGCATTGCCACTCGATTTTTGCCATTCAGGACACAATGCAAAGAACGCAGAGACAGAGGGGGGGGGAGAGAGAGAGAGAGAGAGAGAGAGAGAGAGAGAGAGAGAGAGAGAGAGAGAGAGAGAGAGAGAGAGAGAGAGAGAGAGAGAGAGAGAGAGAGAGAGAGAGAGAGAGAGAGAAGAGAGAGAGAGAGAGAGAGAGAGAGAGAGAGAGAGAGAGAGAGAGAGAGAGAGAGAGAGAGAGAGAGAGAGAGAGAGAGAGAGAGAGAGAGAGAGAGAGAGAGAGAGAGAGAGAGAGAGAGAGAGAGAGAGAGAGAGAGAGAGAGAGAGAGAGAGAGAGAGAGAGAGAGAGAGAGAGAGAGAGAGAGAGAGAGAGAGAGAGAGAGAGAGAGAGAGAGAGAGAGAGAGAGAGAGAGAGAGAGAGAGAGAGAGAGAGAAGAGAGAGAGAGAGAGAGAGAGAGAGAGAGAGAGAGAGAGAGAGAGAGAGAGAGAGAGAGAGAGAGAGAGAGAGAGAGAGAGAGAGAGAGAGAGAGAGAGAGAGAGAGAGAGAGAGAGAGAGAGAGAGAGAGAGAGAGAGAGAGAGAGAGAGAGAGAGAGAGAGAGAGAGAGAGAGAGAGAGAGAGAGAGAGAGAGAGAGAGAGAGAGAGAGAGAGAGAGAGAGAGAGAGAGAGAGAGAGAGAGAGAGAGAGAGAGAGAGAGAGAGAGAGAGAGAGAGAGAGAGAGAGAGAGAGAGAGAGAGAGAGAGAGAGAGAGAGAGAGAGAGAGAGAGAGAGAGAGAGAGAGAGAGAGAGAGAGAGAGAGAGAGAGAGAGAGAGAGAGAGAGAGAGAGAGAGAGAGAGAGAGAGAGAAGAGAGAGAGAGAGAGAGATAGAGAGAGAGAGAGAGAGCGAGAGAGCGAGCGAGAGAGAGAGAGAGAGAGAGAGAGCGTCAGCTCCTTGCACTGTTCAACGTTCTTGCCAGCTTTGTAAAGGGAGACATCGTCCGCGTACTGTCGAGCCTTGCAGTGCTGGGGTACAGAGGGGAGCTTTCTGACTGACAGATTGAAGAGAGAGGGCCCCAAGACGGAGCCTTGCGGAACCCCCCTGTTGCTGCTATATGCTAGGCCCTGTTGTGTCTTGGTGACTACACGTTGCTTCCTGTGGGTAAGGTAGCTACAGAACCACTGCAAGGCAGTACCACCGACACCGATCTCCAGAAGTTCACTCAGTAGAACTGCATGACTAACTGTGTCGAATGCCTTAGACATGTCTAGAAACTTAAGAAAGGCAGCTACGACATAATCACCTTTGTCCAAGGAGAGCATCCAGTCGTTGATCACGGGAGTCCTCGCAGGAGTGGCCTCTGCGGTAGGCAAATTGCTCAGCAGGTAGGGGTAACAGTGGTGGCGGTGCATTATAGATATAGTACATTAGTTGGTCGTGTACAATATGTTCCAGTAGCTTAGACATGTGGGACAGGAGTGATATTGCTCTATAGTTGGATGGGACTGACTTATCTCCACGCTTGTAGATAGGCCGCACATTTGCTAGTTTGTAAGTCGATGGAAAATCGCCAGATGTAAGAGACATCGTAAATAGTTTGGCCAAAGATGGGGCGATCTCATCATTGATGAGCTTGTAAGCCTGGGCGGGGATGTTATCAGGTCCTGTGGCTTTACGACTGTTCATTCTCTGGATATGGAGTTGGACTTGTGGAACAGTGACTGGTGTGAACTGTGTCAGTGAGTATTCCGATAAAGGGCCATTGGGAGTGCGTAGTGTACTGCCAGAAAGTGAGGTATCGTTGACAACGTCTGTAAATGTCTTTGTGATGTCGGCTACTTCGGCAGCAGGTTCCTGGTTGATTTTAATTCTACCCAGTAGATTGTTCATGACACTCCATTGCTCTCTTGGGTGGTTTCGATGATTGATTAGTTGTTGCTGGAAGTATGTAGACCGTTTCTTCCTACTACTACACTCGGTTCCTTGTTATAATAATTATTATATACTTTAATATTAGCTGGTAGACTACATGGCGATTACATGTCTATGTTACATTGTACGCAAGTCGCAGAGCTCCACGCATCTTCGTTGTAATTATAATAGTAGTACAGTACAATCATGTACATGTAATAGTTTCATGACTAGTAGTATTGTAGACAGATAGGCAATCATCACTCATCAGACAATCCTTTGCTAGCATCAGGGAGTCGTAAACTACCGGTATTTAACGACTCCCTGGCCTGGCCAGCCCAGCATGCTGTATTTTTCGGAGCCATATTGATCTGGATCAGGGAGTAGCTACTAATACTCCCTGATCTGGATCATCATCACATGCACAGGGAAGACGTGTGCACGTGTGTTGGTTTCGGTCAGGGCCTAGGCCAGTAGTACAATACCATTGTACAATAACATTGTACTACTGCCTGGTTTCGGCTTCGGATCCCGGACTGCCCGTGTCCAGTCGCCCCATTTGTACTAGTAATAGGCCACATTTGGGATCAGCAGATCAGTGTCGTCAATGATTATGTAACTACTTATTGCAAAAGAAGATCCACAAAGGGATTCGAACCCGTGCTGGGCAGTGCATATGACTGTAGCACAGATCATCTGGTAATAGTTGTAGTCATATCAGGGAGTAGTACAATACTGTATTGTACTACTCCCTGGTTGTAGTAACCGGTATCCGGGACATGGGCGCTGCGCGGGCGTAGAGATCATGCTGACCAGGGAGCTACATGTAGTACATATTGTCTACGCCCGCGTCCGGCGTCCGCGTCCATTTCCCGGGCCGGCCGGAGTTGGGTCCGGGTACCGGGTGCCGGACCGCTGGTGGTAGTTTGGACTTTGGTAGATCCGTTACAGTCTTCTGGTCACATGGCGAATCTACTGTTGTGTGCTCACTGCTCAGTGCAGTGTGCTGTGTGTTGCATGCCATGGGTGTTTATTTTCAAGCAAGCAGCAAGGTTTTTCTTTCATCATTCTGAACTCTCTTGCGTTGTACTACAAAGTACGCTGGAGCCGTTGTGGTCTGCATTTTAACTTCCTCTCATACTCAGGGCTGCCCTTTCTTCGGCGTTATCTTATGTTCGGAGAAAGGCTTGCATAGTGGTGTGGCTGGTCCACAAGTAGTGCTGGGTATGATCCATGGTCTAGCAGCAGTTCCTCGGACTCGATCATATCGCGGAAACTAACACCTGCCTGTCTTGAGAAACGACAATGAGCTCCTTTTTGCAGGTAAGTTCATAATCGAAACAGTTTCGGTAAAAATGACGTTGTGGTGTCAGCATGTTTTCGTCCCTATGCTACCCTTCTGCAAATGTATACAAGTCCAATCCTGATAACTCTGTGTTACAAAATCCTTTGACAAAAAAATGTGATCACACTTTCTGATGCCTTTGAATTCTGGTTCCTGCCAATTTTTGGGGATTGTGCACACTGTCTGTGCCTTCCGCTGGGTCTGTGGTTGTGGATTGTGGTTGTATCAACACTCAACCTGTACATGTAGTGTAATATAAGTCCTAATTTGTTATTACTTTGATGCTCAGATTCTACCTTTGAAGCATGATACACAAATACATTTACACCGTGATTTACACTGTGTACCAAAGCATGCAAGCGCAAATGTATACACATGGCATACAGTACATGTACGCATTCCTATTACTGTGCTACCCTGTCCTGCTGTCCTGAAAGGTTAATCTTTCCCAAGACAGTGCCATCTATGCTAGGGCCTAAAACAAGAACATTGGGATTGTTCTATGTTGCTCTCTGAGTAAAATAGCCAATAGCATGGCATGTTTTGGATGGCATATACGTGTAGCACACACACACACATACACACACACACACACACACACACACACACACACACACACACACACACACACACACACACACACACACACACACACACACACACACACACACACACACACACACACACACACACACACACACACACACACACACACACACACACACACACATACACATGAAACCCAAAGTGTAGAACTCAGATGGGTTGCTGTCACGTGCTGTCATGGCAAAATTCCCGGATTACATCACTTTCGTTATGTACGTACAAGCAGGATTCAGTAGGTCTCTCGTTGCACAAGTGCAGCTCAGCTATACACACTACACCACTTCCCGCCGCCTAATTGTAAGATGTATTCGCAGATTCCGCTAGGACCCATAAGTATACCGGTAATCCAGGCATTCCCTGGGGAAGTACTTTGTGGGGGAAATCAGCAAAACTTATTTTCATCCCGTTTTCGTCCCTTCAATTGAATAGCAAACGGGCATTTACGATAATTGATGGTTTGGATAGTTCACGTTCGGATACTAGTAATTGGCATTCTACTGTAGTCCTACCAATGCTGGGCTGCCACTAGGGCCACGTCACTCTGTAAAGGAGCCATAGTCAGACAGGGAGAGTTTCAGGGACACATCCATGCCAAGACATGTCCTGAGCACGTCGGAAGTGCAGAGCTCGCGGTGCTGTTGCTACTGGAGCTGCTCAACAGCCAAATTACATTGTCCACGGTGACAATTTATGCAGCGATGACATGTCTGGCATTTGAGGGCTGATGTCCAGTGTGTTTATCTTTGCTGTTGATATTTGCGAAGGCTGGGTAGGTGGCTGATGCTGCTGCGGTAGTAAATAATGCTGTACCTTCAAGCCGCCTCTGCTTCGAGACTAAACTGATGACATGTACAGCGTTGAGCTGCGTTGCAAGGGGATTGGAAGCAGCCGCTCTCCGAGATAGTTGCGGTGAGCAAGATGGCAGGATTTGGAGTGGGATCATGCACAGGTTTTACAGACTATCGCCGTTGTTGGTGGTGCCAGTAAGTGTGGAGCAGCTTATTTTACGACCTCCGTACACCACGGCAGTCTGTCTTCAGCCGTCTCCAACAAGGAGGAGTTGGAGACACCCTGACTTGGAGGTTAAGAGTAGCTGCATCCTTTGAGGACCACATGTCGGGCGAGTAATGGGCAGCTGACCAAACAGCTTGGGAAGCTGGCGGTTGGGCATTCTGGCCAGGTGACCTAGCCACTCAAGGCTGCGCTGGAGGACACGCATTAACATGAGCATGGTGTCACCCCACCGATCACCTAACTCGCTGTTGGTGATGTGCTCGTGCCATTACTGGGGCTTGGGGATTGACATATTGATGCGCAAGACTTGGTGATGAACGTGGTCAATCTGTTCAAGGTCGGCTTTCAACTGGGTCCAGTACTCAGCACCATACAACTGCTCCGTTATCAGCAATGTCTGAACGTTCCAAGAGCCAACATAGCGTATTGACCTACAGTCCATTCATAAAAAGATGAGCGCTGGTCGTGGCGAGCTCCCGTATTTGGCGATTTTTCGTGGTTTTATCGCACACAGTGCAGTGCCGCAGTTTGAGGTTAAAAAAGGGTCCAAAAAAGGTACCTCAGCTGGGGTTCGAACCGGACAATGCAGTGATGCAAGTGGAGTGAAACGGATTAGATTTTCATGGCCTTTCCCAATTCAGTGCTTACAAGACAAAACCTGGCCAAAATCCTATTCTTGTTATGGCTTGCTTTTCAAGAAATGGACTTCAGAAAGATAATTGGAAGAGCATTCCATGGGGGCTGCAGAAAAAAATTGTGAAAAAACTCAAAATTTGACCCCTTTATGGCCAAAAGCTAGGATACTGTAAATATACAAAATTTCGGTGCTGCAAAATTTCGGCACTTCACGATTTTTGACATTTCGGCAGCGATTTATTTTCGGCGTGGGGTAGAGGGCATGGTATAGTGCGACAGATGCTGTGAAAAATTTCATCGGCGTTTTAATTTAGGCGTTTTGGGTCGGTGCCGAATATAGTATCATCTTTTTCTGAATGGACTATAGATCTCCCACTTATCTCTCCTGCGAGGTTCTGGTTGTCTCTGGGCTTTACATAATTATAATATACACTCAACGGGTAGCCAACCCACTGCGAGTGGTGGACACTGGCCAACGCAGCAGCGACAATGTCAACTCAGTTGTCCTGTAAGCTAAACTGTGATTCCGGGGCCCAAACAATTACTACTGACCGAACAATGTAAACAGAGGCACCAGGGTAAACCCTGGCTATGCCAGAGTCGCCCTGGGCAGGCAGAAATCCATGGGTAAGAGTCCAGGACGGAGCTCAAAAAGTGTAAATTGCTCTCATTGAGCACGACAAACACGCACGCGCACGCGCACACACACGTACACACACACACATGTATGCACACACACACACACACACACACACACAAACAGAAACACACACACACACACACACACACACACACACACACACACACACACACACACACACACACACACTTGACGAATAAATCCATCATGGTTGAGGCCAGCTGTGTATATAGCTCCATACTCTTGTGCACTAGGTTATGCTACTGGCACCGTGAATCGAATTCTCGTCAGTTTTTGTCTTGTGGGCTGCACAACCGTTCTGTTCAGAACCTACAAATGGGGACCCCTTTCTCTAATGCCTGATGTCATGAGGTCAATGTGGTGTGTGCGTGTGTTGGTATGTGAATATATGCTTGCTTGTCAATTGTGTGCATTGCTTTAGGTAACCCGACGGCTGCTGGTTAGCCTTGTATTCAGTTTCCTATATGGCTTTGCTCCCCGGCTGCTGGCAGCAAGTAAGATGTGCTTAAAAAAATGAAAATGTGTTGCATGTGGCCACTTGGTGTGTAGTGTTGCCCTGAACCCCCTGTGCATGTGGCCACTTGGTGTGTAGTGTTGCCCTGAACCCCCTGTGCATGTGGCCACTTGGTGTGTAGTGTTGCCCTGAACCCCCTGTGCTATGTATGTAGAAATTCCCTTGGTCCATGTCCTTCTCCTCATCCCTGATGATGCCCTCATGGGGAAGATGTCTATTTGAACCAGCGTAGCCAGGGAATTGAGAAAGCGGCACGCTGAATATATCTGCATGGCAATGTAGCCTGTTATTTTCATGCACCTGTGCTGACTTAATGTAGTTTGTTAGTCCTGATGAAGGCAATTTGCCGAAACGTAGTTAATAATCATTGTGAAATGAGTTGAACTATTGCAGTGTTAGTGGAAGAGAGCGTGTGGGCTCTACTCTTTGAAAACTGTTTATGAAACTGCAGGAAGCCTCCCCACTTTTACTTTGTTAGTCTAGTTTATTTGTGGTGCGTGTGTGGTGAGTTGGTTGTCGGCGGAAGTGCTCGTACACACAACTATGAAGCCACTGGCACGTTTGGAGAGGCATTACCCACCATTCTTCTTCAAATTATCTGTACATAGGAACACTGGTGTTGATATTGTTCTCCTTGATCAAAATATTCCACGCGATTTTAATTTGAGGAGTAAGGGAACGAAAGGCCTTCGAGAACCTTGCAGTAGCTTCTTTCTTGCATGTACGCATCATGCATGTAGCTTGCACACTATTTCTTCCAGGCACTGAGCTTGGATAGTGCAATCGCATACCGGATGATGGCAAGAGCCCATCCGCCATATGCTGGATCAGCTCTATTATTTCTTGTGAAGATCTGCATTGTTCCACACATGGAGTACCGCAAAGTGCCTATTGCCATTATTTTCTCAATTGTTGCACTGGACTAGTGACTACATTGGCCTACTATTCCGGGCACGTGATGTTCAAGTACATGAGATCATGCAATGTATGCCATACGGTCTAGATCACGTGCATAATGGTTGCTGGTGATGTCATCCGTACACATCTTCCTGACAAAATGAGTGCTTTCAAGAGACTTTTCCCATAGTTGTGGTGCTTTGCAGATATAAGGGAGGTTTAGTCCCACGTAATCCGTGGGTACTTTACGTGTGTGTACCACGTGATACTCAGTGACCCACGTACAGACGTTTTCTGATTCACGACATACCGTGTATGGAGGCTCACCCACGTTCCGCCAGAACGTGGGTGAAAATCAGAATGGAGCGCATTGTGCGAGCTGTGAGGGTGCTCAGCTGAAGAAGTTTCCGAAGCACGAAATCAAAATATTCGATGAGCTTCTTTGGGCCCGGGTAGATTCGTTTTTGACCAGGTTTGGGCCTTTCGCTTCATGCTTTTGTTTGCTCCGTGTGACTAAACACAACATTGCAACGTGGGTGCCCTTCATCCACTTTACGTGGATCACCCACGTACGCGTTTCCGTTACGTGGGAACTAAACCTCCCTATAATTGCAAGAGACGCCCAGTGCAAGAGACCCCCAGTGCAACACCCATTTTGTCCTACATGTTGTTTGCATTCACTTTGTGCACACCTCAGCATTGTGCACACCTCAGCATTGTGCACACCTCATCATTGTGCACTCGGTCTACATGTCTTGGGGAAATCTGCATTTCTAGCATTCGTTTCTCGAACCGCGCATTATACCGTGGTGCGATCAGTTTCGAAAGGGGCGGCCACTAGTTGAAGGAGAGTGCAGCAGATTCTCATGCCTTTGCTCCCCTGAGTAGTGTGGTAAGGTATAGCAACGTGTTGTGTGCATTGTGTTTTCCTACTGCAGGTCCGACTTTGCCTGTTTCAAATCTAGTGCTTTCGTCGTCGTTAGCCAATACAATTACGGTGACGTGGGACGATTCCGATCCAACAATAGATTACTACAAAATCAGGTACACCCGCTTGCTTCTCTCTGGTGTGCCGTATAATGTCACAAATGTAACTCTTCCGGACTTTGCAAGCAATGGCATGGGAAGACACAGTCACACAATATCTGGGTTGTCTGCTGGCAGCATGTTTCGCATAACTGTTTGGCCATGCGAATCCGATGAAGAGACAACTGAGTCAACCACACCAACATCTCCAGCAAGTTCGTCAGCTACACCAGCAGATGCAATGACCTGGTCAGGTGCATCAACAAATGAATCAGATACACCAGCAACAACAATAGTTACATCGACGGGGGCACCTACAACAGCAGCATCTGCTACAACAATAGCATCCGCTACAACAATAGCATCCGCTACAACAATAGCATCTGCTACAACAGCAGCTGGGGCAAGTATGACAACTATGCCTCCGAGCCAGTGTGGGCCTGAGGCACAGAAAACAATAAGCACTAGTGATGCAGGTTAGTAGAAATTCAGGTTTCTGCGGAGAAGTGCTATCTCAAGTCAATAATTAAAACGCCGACAACGACAACAACATCGTGAGAAAGTGAGAATAAATATTTCAAAACAACAACAACAACAACAACAACAACAACAACAACAACAACAACAACAACAACAACAACAACAACAACAACACCCACAGCATCTCACCTTCTCATAAACTTATCTCTTATTGGCGATGGTGCCATCGTGAGAATAAAGAATTCAATTCAATCTGCTCGTGCACGAGCCACGCTCACCCGTACATCTAGTTTGATCACTGCTAGCCATGAAGCTTCCGCATCATACTAATCTCACTATAATTATTATCTCTTATTGGCCACAGGCCATCGTGAGAATAAAGATTTAAAACAACAACAACAACAACAGCAACAACAGAACGTTCATTATTTAAAATATCAATTCGGATGGAGAGCCAAGGATTATTTATAAAAAGTAAAAAGGGCCAAGGAACTACAAGTTACACTATAATGTCCACTAACACCACCAGTTACTAAACAATCAGCTCATGCGATAACATTGCACGACACTGACCGACGGTACTGACGTTCTACAACTAACTGGCTAACAGCTCTAGCACATCTCGGATGCGCACTCCAACAGCCTTCCAACTTGGAAGGTTCTAAGTTATAGAAATAACATACCGTATGTCCGCACCTTTAAAGCCATGGCGGTATATTCGATTATAAAGCCAGTCTCAGTTATAAAGCCATGGGCTTCATAAATGAACTGGCATTTGAAGTATATTTTTCAAATTTTTTAAAAGGAATAAGTACTATGCTAACACACTTACAGCCCAGCAGGAAGGGTGAGCAAGTAGATTTAGATTGAAATTTCTGTGTAGACTTTCTTTGACTTTTAGGCCACACCGTTTTTTATCTATGTTTCGCGTCCCCCGCGCGTGTGTATTTCACAGCCGGAGTTCCAAAAAAAAACACAAAAAAAACAAAACAGAACATGATTGTTGCATCGTAACTAATAATCATTTGTTCTATTTGTCGCATGATTGTACCCAGCTCACATACATGTACATGTAGCTGTGTGTGTAAGCTGGGCCGTAAGTCACGCAATCATCATGCCGCCTGTGTTTGGACCACAAGCATGCTGATAACGCTGACAGAGTTTGGCCAGTTGTTACCAATCAGTAGAGATTGAATTGTGCAATAAACTTACTTTGCGACATTCACTGTACAGTGAAATTACACTCATGTATTCATGTATGCATGTGTGAATGAATATACATGAACAATGCCGGGTCTTTTTTTAGCTCCACTGTACACAAATGCACACTTGTTCATACTTGCTCTGTGACGCCCCGACGGCCTTAGGGCTATGGGCTTGTGATGTGATGTGTGTGTGTGTGTGTGATATGATGTACACAAATGCAATGCACGTACACTGTTTTTTTGGATGGCTTTTTTTCGCCCTCCCTCATTGATTTCATCGAATAAGGTGACACGAAACATAGAAAAAAACGGTGTGATCTTATGGCATGGCGTAGTAGGTGAGTCATTTTGCATCTAAAATATCTAGGAAAGCAGCGGTGTTTCGAATATAAGGCCATGGCTTTGAAGGCACTGGCATACGGTAAGGAGGGGAAGGTGAGCGCAACCAAGATAAGCACGAGCTGAAAGTCTCAGCTGTGAAGGAAATTGGCGGGTGTTCATGCATGTCGATGACGATACTGGCAAGACCATTGGACAATACGGTCAAACCACGATTCAAGGACGCAAAGCAACATTCCACACAACTTGCGTGGCTCAAAAGATGCAAAGATCAAGAAAAGGCTGTTGGAGTGCGCATCCAAGATGTGCTAGAGCTGTTAGCCAGTTAGTTGTAGAACGTTAGTACCGTCGGTCAGTGTCGTGCAATGTTATCGCATGAGCTGATTGTTTAGTAACTGGTGGTGTTAGTGGACAGTGTAGTGTTACTTGTAGTTCCTTGGCCCTTTTTACTTTTTTATAAATAATCCTTGGCTCTCCATCCGAATTGATATTTTAAATAATGTTGTTGTTGTTGGTCCTTTTTCCTTTTTTATTTAAAATATCGAGCAGAAAATGCAGTGACGTGATAATCGTGAGACCAAGTGGATATGCCTGTGGTGCATGATCCTGTCTTCTGTCCGCGAACGCAAAAGCAAGAGCTGTTGAAGCTCGCTTAAATCAAACCCTGGGTTGGCCCAGACTCCCCGACAGCTGACTATCTGCCATTGATGCCCATCTGCTCTAATCTCAATGCAGCAGACAAAGTACCTATGCCAACAAATTTGCAACCACTGCCACAAGGAGAGCAGAGCTATCACCTGTCCAGCACCACAGCAAACAGAACCAGTATTACCATAGGTTTTGTGAACATGCCTAGTAGAACACAGAATTGTGCAAACTATTTTTTCGGTGCGCAAAAGCAAGGTTTAGCAGCCCCCGATTCTCAACAGAGCAACAATGTGTTGGATTAAGCTGGGAGTGCCGATACGAGCAACTGGTTATAGTATATTCCATAAATCGGCACTCCCGGAACGGGCCGTAAGAACAGTCACTCGTGCAGTCTGTAAGCAGCGCAAGCTAGGTCAAGGATCAATATCAGAATTTGATATCAGGGCCTGAGGCCATTGTTGCAGCCACCCATGTCTTATCTTCAGTCGGCGTACGGATGTACCTCAGGCAGGCACCGCTGTTCCATCTGCCCGCCTCTCTGATTATGGAGTCTGGCAACCCGGCCAGCGCTTCTGTGGTGGCGGCACTTATCCGGAATGAGTGGCCGGCGTATAACGCAGAGTCAAAGCCACAACTGGTGAGCAGCATCCTCACAGTTGCCGTAAATGCCGATCGGGACAGAGGCCGACCATTACCCAGCACAAACAGAGGCCGGTCCGGGCTGGCAGAGGCACGTGTTCCCCGCCAACTAGCCAGACATCGCCCAGAGGGTCAGCATGGCCAGCTTCAAGTTGTAGGTTGCGGACAGCATACAGATACACACGAATGGTACTGGGCTGGACTGACCTGGCTAGATGGGCCACGAGCATGCTCAACATAACATCAGAGGCAGGAAATAACAAGAATTGATTGATATTGCAAACTTGTGTGTAGCGGCTTTCGCCCGCCTGGTATGTCCCCGCCGAGTTTTTGGGCCAATAGCATGTGATGCATAGTAAACTACATCAGCTGGTACGGCAGGCGGGCCGTGTCTGCTTCCAGGCAAGCTGATGGTGCTGCTTTGCGGAAGTCCTGCATGCAGAAACGAAAAATGCACTACTTGTGTTCCTTACGCCCAACCTTGCCCCTCCTCGCCCCCGTTTTTCTCCAGAAAACTGATGAAAGGATACCGGGGTATAGTCTGGCCGGGTCCAATTTATCCTCCCACACAGGACGGGTTGTGGTGTGATGACGGTGGCTACTGGCAGCACTCCCTCTCGCTGCCGAGGGTTCAGAATCCTAGTGGTACTGGAGAGGGCCCGACATAAGTCATTGTATTTTAGTAATTTGAAAGTTTAAGGTATCCAGTCTCCCACAAGTACTGTAACAACATGCGGACAAATTCAGCTGCAACACAAGTAAAATGTTCTAGGAGTCATAATGTTGGAACCCCTCTGCTACTACAGACAGTGATCACTATGCATGAAAAACAGATTCTAGGGTTTTTGAGTCTCCGATATGAATCTTTGATGTGCAATTGTGTGCAAATATTCCCTTGTGCTGTTTCCAACAACCACTCAGATCCAACCTCTCCTGTCCAAAACCTAACTGTCACGGCTGTATCTGGAAACACCACTAATGTATCATGGGTCAGACCTGAAATTGGAACACTGCACGGAGCTTTGACTCACTACATGGTTGTATACAATCGCACTATTCTCTCTGGGGAGACAGGGCCAAGTCATTTCACTACAAACAGTGTGCAAGTTACAGCTGGTGATCCAGCACAAACAGATTTCTCCTATCAAATCCTGGGGCTAACAGCTGGCAGCAGGTATGAAATATCCATTGAACCATGTAGGATGGCTGTGTGTGGACCAGCTGCAACGACAAGTACCAACACCAGTAATGCAGGTAAGTCTGGTTGTGTGCAGTCTGCTTTGGGAACAATTCGTAATATTCACCCCATCTTCATTTTAGCTGATGAGTTGTGCTGCAAGTGCCGTTACATTCACAAGTACGAGTTACAAGATAAAGATGTATTGAGTGTGTGCATAACATCGTCCTACAATGTACTGCTGGGACACCTCGTCTCCTTTTCGGGGAACTGTTACTTTTCCTTGTTCACGTCAGTCCGTTTTGTTGTCCTTCTCTTTACAATCCTTTGAGAAATTATTGAGCTACTAAGATTTTAAATCCATACATCTGTACTGTAGCGTTGGCACGCTGGTGACTTCACAGCGTATAGCGTATAGTGTTTAGCATAGCATATTCCCGTACGTTACTGTATTCCCGTACGTTAGCATATCCCCGTACTATATCCCCATACGTTAGCGTATCCCCGTACATTAGCGTACGGAGTCTGCCTTTGTATAAAAGCTGGTGCTCACGATTCTTTTATTGCCAGTCAGTTAATTAAGTAGCCAGTTAATTTCATTGTCAGTTATAGTTACATTTCAATTGCTAGTTACAGTGTGTTCACTGAGACCCGTGTGCATTTGCCTCCGAGAGAGACTGCGGCCCGCTACACATCCTGTACACACACCTACTAAGATTTTGTAGAGAATTAATTGGAGCACATCCCAAATTCTTTGCAGTAGTGTATTTTGAATGGGCTTGGATTGGTTCCATCATGTTGTTGGAAGTCAGAGTTCATTTACTTCATTAAGTAGTTATAATTTCTGCCAGGTTTGCAGAATGTGGCCACGTTCAGTAGGACAAAATCATGGAGTTGACTGATGAGCTGGGGAAAAGACATGCCACTGATTTCTGCGGATCGTGTTTGGCACGGTTCAAGACCTGTACAATATTTGTTACCGCAGAGTACTTCTCAGGGCATTTTATTTCACGACATGATAGACCACCAGGAAACTATAGTACATTTGCTCAGTGGAAATCATGCTGTGGGCGTTCTGAACACTTGGACAAAACAAAGCAGAAAATTATGAGATCGTGGATGGGATATGAGTGGTAGCATTCTAACGCAAGTTCACAGCCAGCCCAGTGAGCTGGCCCGACCTGTTCGCATGCGCAAGTCTCGCAGGCACACGCCCTTCAAGGCCTCGCGCAATTTCTCTTGCAATGCTGATTAACTCAATCTGCTCCTGCAGCGCTCACCGTCTCCCATACTTGTAAAATTCAAAGTGATGTAAATCACTTTCCAACTGCATAACCCCCAGCCCCACCCTCAGCATCTCACCTTCTCATAAACTTATCTCTTATTGGCGATGGTGCCATCATGAGAATAAAGAATTCAAAAAAACAAAAACAAAAGTTCATTGCTGTTTTGACTTTCGAGCTTGCACGTGCCGAAACATTTGTTCCCACACAATTTTCTTGCGACTTCCTTTCCACGTCCCGGCTTTTAGTTTCTCTTCTGTGGAGACCTATGAACACCCGCAGAAAAATTTAGCATTTGGCGGCTCCATGTGGAGTCATTTGGCGGCTCCATGCGGAGTCAATTCACTGCTCCGTGTTGAGTAATTTGGCGACTCAGCTGAGTTATTTCCACTGACAGGGGCACCATATTTTACGGAGTATATGCCGCACTTTGAACACTCAAAATTTACCAAAAAAAGGTAGAGTGCCGCTTATACTCCAATGATCAAATTAACGGTGATGCACAGAATAGATGTCTGTATTTCGGGGCATAAAGGGGGGGGGGGGGTGCGCCTTTTACACCAGTGCGGCTTATTCTCAGAAAAATATGGTACTTGTGTTCCTTACGCCCGACTTTGCCCCCCCCCCCCCCCGTTTTTCTCCAGAAAACTGATGAAAGGATACCCGGGTTTAGTCTGGCCGGGTCCAGTTTATCCTCTCACACAGGACGGGTTGTGGTGTGATGACGGTGGCTACTGGCAGCACTTCATCTCGCTGCCGAGGGTTCAGAATCCTAGTGGTACTGGAGAGGGCCCGACATAAGCCATTGTGTTTTATTTTAAAACTCGGATGTTGAGCCATAAATAAATGTGGAAGAGAAAAAGACATATGGATACGAGTTAAGAGTAACTCTCCATCACTGTAACATGATACTATATACAGTCAGAAAGTGCAATAACTAGGCACAAAACTGACAGAGTACTGAAACATTCGACGTCCTGACACCTAGCTTCAACACATCTCCGTAGCTGTCGGTTAGCGCTACGGAGATGTGTTGAAGCTAGGTGTCAGGACGTCGAATGTTTCAGTACTCTGTCAGTTTTGTGCCTAGTTATTGCACTTTCTGACTGTATATAGTGTCATGTTACAGTGATGGAGAGTTACTCTTAACTCGTATCCATATGTTTTATTTTAGTTAAACATTTGAAAGTCCAGTCTTCAACAAGGAACGTAACAACATGAGGACATATTCAGCTGCAATGTACAAGTAAATGTTTTACTCATAATATTTGAACCCCTCTGCTACTACAGACAGTGATCACTATGCATGAAAAACAGATGCTAGGGTTTGGAGTCTTCAATATGAATCTTTGATGTGCTATTGTGTGCAATTATTCCCTTATGCTGTTTCCAACAACCACTCAGATCCTACCTCTCCTGTCCAAAACCTAACCATCACGGCTGTAACCGGAAACACCACTAATGTATCATGGATCAGACCGGAAATTGGAACACTGCATGGAGCTTTGACTCACTACGTGGTTGTATACAATCGCACTATTCTCTCTGGGGAGACAAGTAATTTCACTACAAACAGTGAACAAGTTCCAGCTGGTAGTGATCCAGCACAAACAGATTTCTCCTATCAAATCATGGGGCTAACAGCTGGCAGCAGGTATGAAATATCCATTGAACCATGTAGGATGGCTGTGTGTGGACCAGCTGCAATGACAAGTACCAACACCAGTAATGCAGGTAAGTCTGATTGTGTGCAGTCTGCTTTGGGAACAGTTCGTAATATTCACCCCATCTTCGAGTAAACTGATGACATTTGTGCCGCAAGTGTCGTTACATTCACAAGTACGAGTTACAAGATGAAGATGTCTCGAGCGTGTGCATAACATCGCCCTACAATTTACTGCTGGGACACCTCGTCTCTTTTTCGGGGAACTGTTACGTTTCCTTGTTCACATTAGTTCGTTTTGTTGTACTTCTCTTTACAGTCCGTTGAGAAATTTTTGAGCTACTAAGATTTTGTTATGAACTAGAATTAATTGGAGCACATCCCAAATTCTTTGCAGTGGTGTATTTGGAATGGGCATGGATTGGTGCCTACATGTTCTTAGAAGTCAGAGTTCATTTACCATATAAGGTAGTTATAATTTCTGCCAGGTTTGGAGAATGTGGCCACGTTCAGTACAGTACTGTCGGGTGCCGTAGAGCTGGGGGGGTCAGGGCTCTAGCCTAGGCCGTTCTTATTTTTAGCGAACACAACAGTTTCGTTCTTATTCGATGGTACTGTCTTACATTTATATTTATGCAGAGTAACACGTCTGGGTGTACATTATTGTATATTACGGTTTCCGTTCTTATCTTCAAAAATCTAGCCTACACCGTTCATAAAAAATGGCGAAATTCTAGCCTGGCCGTTCTTCGGCGGTGCGTTCTTCGGCGGTCCGTTCTTCGGCGCCTGACAGTACAGCAGGAAAAAATCATGGAGTTGACTGATGAACTCGGGGAAAGACATGTCATAGATTCCTGCGGATCGTGTTTGGTTTGGGTCGAGACCTGTACAATATTTGTTACTGCTGAGTATTTCTCAGGTCATTTCAATTCACGACATGATAGACCACAAGGAAACTATCTGGGAGTCGGCTGACAATGACTGCATTTCTTTATAGTAAATTTGCTTAATGGAAATCATGCTGTGGGACGTTCTGAACACTTGGACGGGACAATGCAGAAAATTGTGAGATCGTGGATGGGATATGAGTGGTAGCATAGCCAGCCCAGCGAGCTGACCTGACCTGTTCGCATGCACGAGTCATGCAGGCGCGCGCCCTTCGAGGCCTCGCGCAATGTCTCTTGCAAGGTCTTTGCTGTTTTGACTTTTGAGCTTGCACGCGGCGGAACATTTCTTCCCACACAATTTCCTTGCGATTTCCTTTCCGCGTCCTGGCTTTTTGTTTCTCTTTTGTGGAGAGCTATGAACATCCGGAGTAATATTTAGCACTTGGCGGCTCTATGCGGAGTCATTTTGCGGCTCTATGCGAGTCATTTTGCTGCTCCGTTCGGAGTCAACTGGCGGCTCAGCTGAGTTATTTCCACTAACAGGGCTGGGAGGTACCGTATTTTGTTCCAAAATTCTCTGTAGACTGTAGTGTCAGGAGTACAGTAGATATAGGTTATAAAGTGCCCTTCTGATTTTTCACATTTTATCACTATAACCGGTATATCACTACAGGCGATTTTCAACTGCGCTCGTCATACATACACATTATACACGTGTGGGTACTCGATCGCGCTAATGTAGCGTACTGATACCTGGTGCATGCTGCTGCACCTTCCCCAGCCTAGAGTGAAGAACTTCTTGGCCCAAAGGCATCATCCAGGAAGCATCAGACCAGAATACACTATGAAAACGCACATGTGGCTCCAAGTCAAGACATCAATACCTCACACTCGTGTGTTGCTATCACTATAGACGATAATTTTTCTGCACAAAGAGGTGATTTGAATGGTGATTCTGTATCCTTATAGCCGATTTATCGCTATATCCGATATATTGGTTATAATGATAATTTGACTGGCTTTTTCTGGTTTTGCTTTTGATATCTTCATTTTGTATCAATATAGCCGGTTTATCACTATATCCGATGACTTTATAACCAATATCCACTGTAGTAGTAGTACATGCAGTAATCTAAATAATAATGTGTAAACATCATTGCACAAAGCATACCAGGTATGAAAACATTGGCAAATTGTAAAAGATGGTGAAAGGATCATAGAGATCAAAGAGAGAGAAGAACAACTAATAGGATAGAACAGCAGCCTCGGCAACAGCAACCTCAGCGGAAGAAGCGGGGATGCACGAGAACACAGGCCTAGCACCACCCAGGCTCATATGGCTGGCCCGCAGTAGAGCAAAACACAGGCGGCAGCGGAGCATAGCGATGACTGCAGAAAAGCGCTCACCCTACTTTTCTGACAGCAGCGAGGCGATGCGCTTGTATAGGGCATTCGCACATTTTCCCATACCACCGGTCGTTGAGAGAACGACAGGGACAAATGTGCAGTGTTCGACCTCCCTCATACGCTGCTCATATGCACGCTTCATGGCCTTCTCATGCTTGGTGTAGCAAGCAGCAAGTGAGGAGGAACGATTCGACGGCGCGAAGGGGTTAAACACCCCGACATCGAGAAAAGTGCGCTTGAACCGTCCTCCCCAAATGCCGCTCGCCACAACATCCAGCCGAGCCTGTCATCTTAGATTGCTGTGCGATAGCGGAGCTTTTCGTCGCTGAGGGGTTGGATGTGGGGCTCCATGGCGATCTGATGTGAGACCCGCTTGAGGACAGGCACCGTAATGTTGCGAACCCCGTTATGCTGAAGTGTAGGAAAACCTCCAAGTGAACAAGAGAGCGCGTGGGCAACTGCAAATGCCTGGCCACACTGGCAATGGGAAGGCAGGCGTAGTGGTATCCAGTCGCACCGGAGACGTATGGCATGTCGGAACTCCTGCTCCGTCAGGGTGTGGCCGTGGGCTTGGAGGGGTCGGCAGGTCAACCAGGCAGACGAACCTTTCTCAGAAGCTAGGTCCAGTGCTCGCTGCATGGCCGGTTCGACAGGAGAGGAGACTGTGGTCGCATCATGGCGGATAGCGTCCCTCACCACCACACGCACCTGCTCCTTGGCTTGCTGTGTCTGGACAGTCTCACCTTCCAGTCCGAAATCCTGGCGCAGGGTACAGTGAATGAGGGGATATGAGATCCGTAGTGATGAGGCATATTGCGCTGCTCTCGAGGATGGGTGGGGTAGGCCTAGGCCGCCATGGCGACAAGGTAGACCAGTGCGGCTTATGCTCCGAAAAATATGGTATTTATGTTCCTTACGTCCAACTCCCCCCCCCCCCCTGTTTTTCTCCAGAAAACTGATGAAAGGATACCCAAGTTTAGTCTGGCCGGGTCCAGTTTATCCTCTCACACAGGACGGGTTGTGGTGTGATGGCGGCGGCTACTGGCAACACTCCCTCTCGCTGCCGAGGGTTCAGAATTCTAGTGGTACAGGAGAGGGCCCGACAAAAGTCATTGTATTTTAGACTTTTAGTGATTTGAAAGTTGTAGGTACAAGTGCTGTAACAACATGAGGACAAATTCAGCTGCAACGGACAACTACATGTTTTACTCATAAAATCGGTTGTGGCGACAAACGCGATTAGGCCGGCTGCAGGGACACCGTAATGTCGCACCTGCCCCAGCACCATTCAAAAATTTCCCTTTGGCAGTTCACGGTACGAACTTCAACAAAGCCCTGTGTAATGCGTACCAGGGGAAGGCTAGACAGCATGTCTCTAGACATCAATAGGCATTGTATGAAAAGCCAGTCAATAGCACTAAAGAGCGAAAGCCTTCGTCACGGTTCGGTTTCACTCGCGCACCGGGCCCGAGCTGGCAGCACAAACAAACACAGGGCGCGAGCTGGCAGCACAAACAAATGCCGTACTCACACGATTACCGTTGGGCCAACGGATGGCCACAGCCATCAAAAATAGGAACAAACCCATCCATGGCTTCTTTCTCTTGCTAGCTGTGCTGCTGCTGCGTGCATCCAACTGTTTTGCAATTTCTCCCTCCCACTCACGCCTCCTGACATTTTATTATTGCTCTACACTCTCTCTACACTCTCCTATGTCTCACTAGGAGTATTCCAAGCTACATGTACATGTATTTGTATAATTTTTTGATCTTTCCTTGCTCACTATTCTTGACAAAATTCAATTGCAACGAAACGCCGATGGCCGGCGGGGGCATTCGGCGGCGTGATCTGATTCCTAGCTTGTTGGTAACCGGCTTGAGATTTCCAAGGTTGCTATGACACCGTGCAGTCATGCGCAGGGCCACCCAACATGCATTTGCGGGCCCAGAAAAGACAGAAATGCGTCGCTAGGCAACAGCAAAAGCGCTAGGCGAGTATCACGCTACTCATGCAGCGCGCACGTTGGCGCAGGGTATCACGCTACCCTTGTGCTGCGGGGTACCAAATTGCCCCTCGCTGGAATCAGACCCGCGCCCCAGATACCTTGCGCTGGCCTCCTGACGGCCAAACACAACCAACTTGTGCTCTGTGACTGGGGTGGTACATGTACTAGCAACATAACGTGGCCCAGGTGGGCTGACTTTCAATTAGCCAAGTGAGCTACGCATGCCAGGGTGCATGATCACTATTGGCAGCACTTATCGTCCATGCAGCAGTCGGGTTAATGTTCGAACCCCTCTGCTACTACAGACAGTGATCAATATGCATGAAAAACAGATTCTAGGGTTTTTGAGTCTCCGATATGAATCTTTGATGTGCTATTGTGTGCAATTATTCCCTTGTGCTGTTTCCAACAACCACTCAGATCCTACCTCTCCTGTCCAAAACCTAACCGTCACGGCTGTAACCGGAAACACCACTAATGTATCATGGGTCAGACCTGAAATTGGAACACTGCACGGAGCTTTGACTCACTACGTGGTTGTATACAATCGCACTATTCTCTCTGGGGAGACAAGCAATTTCACTACAAACAGTGAACAAGTTCCAGCTGGTAGTGATCCAGCACAAACAGTTTTCTCCTATCAAATCCTGGGGCTAACAGCTGGCAGCAGGTATGAAATATCCATTGAACCATGTAGGATGGCTGTGTGTGGACCAGCTGCAACGACAAGTACCAACACCAGTAATGCAGGTAAGTCTGATTGTGTGCAGTCTGCTTTGGGAACAGTTCATAATAAATATTCAACCCATCTTCATTTTAGCTTGAGTAAGCTGATGAAATTTGTGCTGCAAGTGTCGTTACATTCACATATACGAGTTACAAGATGAAGATGTCTCGAGTGTGTGCATAGCATTGTCCTACAATGTACTGCTGGGACACCTCGTCTCTTTTTCAGGGACTGTTACTTTTCCTTGTTCACATCAGTTCGTTTTGTTGTACTTCTCTTTACAGTCCTTTGACATATTAGAGAGGTTCCGCACTACGTAAAGTTGAGCAACTTTACGTTAATGGGCGGGAAAAACCCGTGAATTCGCGAGTTTGCACTCCACTTACGGAAAGTTGTCTACGGAGAGTACGTAGATAGGGCTCTGATAACGTAGCTGGTCCGTAAGTGGATTGGGGTACAAATTTATGACTCTCTCCCCAAATCGATCTGGTCCCACACTGCCGCGTTCGGAGTTGCCAAGGGCAGCTACGTGATTTGAAAACTCCGTATGGCGGAACCCAGATGCGCATTCAGTTTACGTAAGACTTTCCGTAGATCGACTACGTTTTTTACTAACGTAATTACGTTATGCGGAACCTCTCTATTATTGAGCTACTAAGGTTTTAGTTATGAAATTATTTTTTGCTAACACAGAAGGCGCATGGTCTGTTCCCAACAAGCTCTCACTCGCTCATTGTTCTCCGAAGTCCACTGTTCCTGATTTCAGTTCTTGCTTTGTCCTCATTGGCAGTGGATTTCTTTCTCAACCCACCCACCCACTCCACTATTGTCATCATCCTGTTTCTTGTTCTACTTCTCTCCTGTCGGTATCCATTATCATACCGGCCTACAATAACTATACGAAACTCTGTAAATACACGGAGGGGAGTCAACCTTGCTTACCAGGCTCCTCATACGGCTCATTCAGCCCCTCGCACTCAGACGGCTCACACAGCCTCTCAATACGGCTCACTCAGCCTCCGCAGCCGCGCCCTGCCCGGCTGCCTCCATACGGCTCACTCAGTCTCCGCAGCAGGGCCCTGCCCAGCTGCCATACACACATTCACACAGCTCTAAGCTGTCACTCGGAGCCTGGCAAAGCAGTTGACAAACCCTCCTATTCTCCAAACTGTATGCTTGTGTGAGTGCGGCATGCAGATGCTTGTGTTAACTAGAATTAATTGGAGCACATCCTGTAGCAGTGCTCCCCAATCAATCACAGACATCTATGTATGGTATATACTCAATCTGCGGACAGCATGCTGTTTCGTTCTTTTTGAACTCATCAGCGCAGCACAGAGGAAATGAGGCCGAACCTGATAGCAATGGAAATAAAAATTTCCAATCAGGCCCGAACGTACCTTGCCAGAGTGCTCAAACTGACAAGTCAGTGAGCTCTGCGTAATGCAAACAGCAAAGGCACTACCCCACATGAGAGTGCTCAACTGCTACAAGAGCAGGAGCGAAATACTCAATCTGTATGGTATATATGTACTTATTCAGCATACTAAGCATTCTACCATCATCTGCATCCATTACAACGATCTGGATTATGCAGAACAGAATCAGCGAAGCGGACATTGGACGTAGTCATGAACAAAAAAGTAAAAGATGGATAATATATTTTCCGAACACGTTTTCTAGAGACATTCATCAGGGAAAATAAGTCTCAATAATAAAAGCTAGCAATAAACAATGATATATACGTGAAAGAGTAGGAAATGCAGTATGTGCAAGAAAATACCGTAAAATCCCGCCAGAGCGCCCCTACCTCCTCGACGCTTCAGGTGGGGAGGGGCGGATGGGCGAGTCCTACTTGCCGCATTCAGTGCTACATGAAAAAGTACTCACCCTACGAAAACTGTTCGTGCATCTCGTACACCAACCAAAGGTCAAGAGCCAGGAGTCGTACAGACCCAACAAAACGCAGGGTTTGTGCGATCCCTGGTCAAGAGGGTGGGCACTGTTGCGTACATTTTCAACGGGGTGGAGCACGCGTCTGCAGTACAGTGCGGCATCACAGACTGCTACAGAGTCATACGAGGATACAATAAATCACGTCCCTGACAAGAATTCAGGGAGGGGCGGATGGGAGAGACGGGGCGCTCTGGCGGGATTTTACGGTACTTGTAGGAGAAAAGAAGGTGAAGTGCGAAAGACACGAGAAGTGTGACCTAATAACAGGGGTGGGCAGGTGAGAAATAATAACAATGTGAGACTCAGAGAGGGTGAAGTGTAAGGAGTACGTGCATGGGTATGTGGGTGGGTGTATGTGTGTGTGTGTGAATGCTAAGAGAATAGTCTAAGTTTAGTGACATTTTCTTTTTGGATGCATAGGTTGAGGTTATGTTTGTGAATGAAAACAGCTTCCAATACTTGAAGTTCACTAAACCTACGAGCACGGCACAAAACTGTGAAGCAAGAGTCATCATAAACTGAACGGCACTGACTGTTGGACAACAGGTGTTTCTTTATTGCGGATCTCTTTCCAGTATCATCACCCTCACCTTGCATCTGTCCACTGTTGGCCTCAACATCCTCGTCCTGCTCTCCATCACTGCCAGTACCTTTATCGTCCGTGGTCTGCCGATCCTCATCCTCCGTCAATATTGCTGTCACGTCCGTTGCTGCTTCAGGTCCATGTCCATTGGTGGAATTCATTCGTGTTGATCGAGTCATGCTGCGTGTTATTGGTCGATGTGTCTTGGATTGGTTAGCATCTGGGCTTTCTGTTAATCGTGTAGTCTCCTCAGGTAAAAGTTGGCGCCGAGTCGTTTGTCAGATGTGAGTCTCCTTCAAGGGCTTAGTTGGTCGGCCTCGTCTAGGCCGTAGGGCTCTCGCACTGTCTGATAATAGGTAGAGCGGTACATGTTGTTTTACAATATCAACATTGACGGAGAATGAGGATAGGCAGACCACGGACTATGAAGGTACTGGCACGTATTTTTCCCTGACAAATGTCTCTAGAAAACGTGTTCGGAAACTATATTATCCATCTTTTATTTTTTTGTTCATGACTACGTCCAATGTCCGCTTCGCTGATTCTGCTTATTGCCTGATTAAAGTTATTGTCTCCGCGCTGCTTATTATGCAGAACACTCAAATCCTATATTCCAACAAAAAATTGACATGTCCTCTCTAAAACGGCTGAATAAATCAAGCGATGATACTGGCACTCTTGAAAACTTCTGAAGAGAACCTACTGGTGCTGCCCTAACACCTTACGATACAATTTAGGCACACAACTTATCCCGGGCGGAAGCATGGTCATGATTATTTGAAGAAATTCAATAAATCCTATATATAGGATTTGACAGTTAAATAGATGCACCAGTGCGGCTTATTCTCCGAAAAGTATGGTACTTGTGTTCCTTACGCCCACCTTTGCCACCCTCCCCCCCCCCAATTTCCTCCAGAAAAAAAACTGATGTATGGATACCTGGGTTTAGTGTGGCCGGATCCATTTTATCCTCTCACACAGGGCGGGTTGTCATGTGATGATGGTGGCTACTGGCAACACTCCCTCTCGCTGCCGAGGGTTCAGAATCCTAGTGGTGCTGGAGAGGGCCTGGCATAAGTCATTGTGTTTTAGTTAAACATTTGAAAGTTTTAGGTATCCAGTCTCCCACAAGTACATGAGGACAAATTCAGCTGCAACAGACAAGTATATGTTTTACTTCGAAGTACTCGTAATGTTCGAACCCCTTTGCTACTACAGACAGACTGTCAGTGATCACTATGCGTGAAAACTGATCCTAAGGTTTTTGAGTCTCCGATATGAATCTTTGATGTGCCATTGTGTGCAATTACTCCCTTGTGCTGTTTCCAACAACCACTCAGATCCAACCTCTCCTGTCCAAAACCTAACCGTCGTGGCTGTAACCGGAAACACCACTAATGTATCATGGGTCAGACCTGACATTGGAACACTGCACGGAGCTTTGACTCACTACGTGGTTGTATACAATCGCACTATTCTCTCTGGGGAGACAAGTAATTTCACTACAAACAGTGAACAAGTTCCAGCTGGTAGTGATCCAACACAAACAGTTTTCTCCTATCAAATCCTGGGGCTAACAGCTGGCAGCAGGTATGAAATATCCATTGAACCATGTAGGATGGCTGTGTGTGGACCAGCTGCAACGACAAGCACCAACACCAGTAATGCAGGTAAGTCTGATTGTGTGCAGTCTGCTTTGGGAACAGTTCGTAATATTCACCCCATCTTTTTTTGAGATTGAGTAAGCTGATGAGTTGTGCTGCAAGTGTCGTTACATTCACATGTCCGAGTTACAAGATGAAGATGTCTCGAGTGTGTGCATAACATTGTCCTACAATGTACTGCTGGGACACCTCGTCTCTTTTTCAGGGACTGTTACTTTTCCTTGTTCACATCAGTTCGTTTTGTTGTACTTATCTTCACAGTCCTTTGATAAATTATTGAGCTACTATTAAAGATTTTGTTATGAACTAGAATTAATTGGAGCACATCCCAAATTCTTTGCAGTGGTGTATTTGGAATGGGCATTGATTGGTTCCATCATGTTGTTGGTAGTCAGAGTTCATTTACTTCATTACTCATTAGGTAGTTATAATTTCTGCCACGTTTGCAGAATGTGGCCACGTTTCAAGCACAGTGCTGTCGAGCGCCAAAGACCGGGAGGGGGGGGGGGGGTCAGGATTCTAGCCTAGCCCGTTCTTATTTTTAGCAAACACAACAGTTTCGTTCTCATTTGATGGTAGTCTTGCATTTATATTTATGCAGAGTAACACATCTGGGTGTACATTAGAGTGTATATTACGGTTTCCGTTCGTATCTTCAAAAATCCAGGATACTCCGTTCTTAAAAATTGGCGAAATTCCAGCCTGGCCGTTCTTCGGCGCCCAACAGTACTGTAGGACAATATCAGGGAGTGGACTGATGAGCTTGGGAAAAGACATGCCACTGATTCCTGCGGATCGTGTTTGGTACGGGTCAAGACCTGTACAATATTTGTTGCTGCAGAGTACTTCTCAGGGCATTTATTTCACGACATGATAGACCACAAGGAAACTATCTGGGAGTCAGCTAACAATGATTGCATTTCTTTATAGTACATTTGCTTAGTGGAAACCATGCTGTGGAGCGTTCTGAACAGTTGGACGGAACAATGCAGAAAACTGTGAAATTGTAGATGCGATATGAGTGGTAGCATGCTAACGCCAGTTAACAGTGAGCGCAACGAGCTGGCCCAACCTGCTCACGTGTGTGAGTCATGCAGGCACGCGCCCTTCAAGGCCTCGTGCAATGTCTCTTGCAAGGTCGTGTTGGCGATGGTGCCATCGTGAGAATAAAGAATTCAAAAGGTCATTGATGTTTTGACTTTTGAGCTTGCATGTGGCGGAACATTTATGCCCACATAATTTCCTTGCGATTTCCTTTCCGCGTCCCGGCTTTTTGTTTCTCTTCTGTGGAGACCTATGAACACCCGCAAAAATATTGAGCATTTGGTGGCTCCATGCTGAGTCATTTTGCTGCTCCATGCAGAGTCATTTTTGCGGCTCCATGCGAGTCGTTTCGCTGCTCCGTGCAGAGTCATTTGGCGGCTCGGCTGAGTTATTTCCACTGACAGGGGCTGGGAGGTACCATATTTTACGGAGTTTATGCCGCAATTTGAACATTCAAAATTTACCTAAAAGGGGGGGGGGGTGCAGCTTATTCTCCGATGATCAAATTAACTGTGATACATAGGATAGATGTCTGTATTTCGTGGTCTAAAATAGGGGGTGCGCCTTATACACCAGTTCGGTATATTCTCCGAAAAATATGGTACTTGTGTTCCTTTAAATACGCCCAACTTTGCCCCCCCCCCCCCTCGTTTTCTCCTGAAAACTGATGAAAAGATACCTGGGTTTAGTCTGGCTGGGTCCGTTTTATCCTCTAACACAGGACGGGTTGTAGTATGACGACGGTGGCTACTGGTAGCACTCCGTCTCGCTGCCGAGGGTTCAGAATCCTAGTCATAAGTCATTGTACTTTAGTAATTTGAAAGTTTAAGGTATCCAGTCTCCCACAAGTACTGTAACAACATGAGGACAAATTCAGCTGCAACACAAGTAAAATGTTCTAGGAGCATAATGTTGGAACCCCTCTGCTACTACAGACAGTGATCACTATGCATGAAAAACAGATGCTAGGGTTTTTAAGTCTCCGATATGAATCTTTGATGTGCAATTGTGTGCAATTATTCCCTTGTGCTGTTTCCAACAACCACTCAGATCCTACCTCTCCTGTCCAAAACCTAACCGTCACGGCTGTAACCGGAAACACCACTAATGTATCATGGGTCAGACCGGAAATTGGAACGCTGCATGGAGCTTTGACTCACTACGTGGTTGTATACAATCGCACTATTCTCTCTGGGGAGACAAGTAATTTCACTACAAACAGTGAACAAGTTCCAGCTGGTAGTGATCCAGCACAAACAGATTTCTCCTATCAAATCATGGGGCTAACAGCTGGCAGCAGGTATGACATATCCCTTGAACCATGTAGGATGGCTGTGTGTGGACCAGCTGCAACGACAAGTACCAACACCAGTAATGCAGGTAAGTCTGATTGTGTGCAGTCTGCTTTGGGAACAATTCGTAATATTTACCCCATCTTCATTTTAGCTTGAGTAAGCTGATGAAATTTGTGCTGCAAGTGTCGTTACATTCACATATACGAGTTACAAGATGAAGATGTCTCGAGTGTGTGCATAACATTGTCCTACAATGTACTGCTGGGACACCTCGTCTCTTTTTCAGGGACTGTTACTTTTCCTGTTTACGTCCGTTCGTTTACAATCCTTTGATAAATTATTGAGCTACTAAGGGGTCGTCCATAATTATCGAACTTTTTTCACGAAACGAAATAATTTCGTTATGGGGTGGGAGGGGGTTGACCAATTTCGTTTCAGAAAAGTTCGATACATGTACATGGCCATAGGAGCAGTGACACACTTGCGACTTTTGTTGTATATGCATGTATATGTCAACAATTTTTACGTTCTGAGGGGGAGGGAGGGAGGGGTTGGGTCTAAACTAAAATAATTCGTTTGGTGAAAAAAGTTCGATATTTACGGACGGCCCCTAAGATGTTGGTATGAACTAGAATTAATTGGAGCACATCCCAAATTCTTTGCAGTGGTGTATTTGGAATGGGCATGGATTGGTTCCATCATGTTGTTGGTAGTCAGAGTTCATTTACTTCATCAGGTAGGCTAATGAACTGGGGAAAAGACTTGCCACTGATTCCCGCGGATTGTGTTTTGTATGGTTCGAGTCCTGTGCAATATTTGATACTTCTGAGTACTTCTGAGGGTATTCAATTCACAACATGATAGACCACAAGGAAACTTTCTGGGAGTCAGCTAACAGTGACTGCATCTCTTTGCAGTGCCTATGGTTAGTGGGAATCATGCTGTGGGGCGTTCTGAACACGGCGGAAAATTGTGAGATTATGGATAGCATGCTAACACAAGTTAGCATCAGCCCAGTGAGCTGGCCTGACCTGTACGCATGCGCGAGCAGGCGTGTACGCAGGGTCACCTCTAGGGGGGGTTTTCCAACTGAATCACAAACAACAAGTTTTAACCCTTTGAAAAGAGCCCTAGGAAATTTTCAAAATTATGCATTTTTTCGTGTTCCTTGTATCATAACTTCAGTTCTACTCACTCAATCTTCCTAATCTTGGGCTTCCTGGAAGTGGAAAAGTGTCCGGGAGAGGAAGAATGAGGTCAACCATGATAGCCAGGACACTCTACATGTATATACAGCGCTAGAGTGCAGCGACGGTGCGAAAAATGCCCCAAATGCCCAAACGCATCCTGCTCCAGCGATTTCGTTTTTCTCGATCGCAGAGTTTCGATTTTTGCTGTGTACTCTTGACAATATCAGAAGTGTAAACCCTGCAAATTTGAGCACGCCATCTTGACGAAAAATCTCAAATTCTCGATACTCAAGTCGCACTGCCCGCTTTTGAAATTGCCGAGATTGCGGCTCAACTTACGAATGATTTATCTCAAGAAACATTGCTCGCAGCGCTTCGCAAATTGTTTCTACCAACAGCTGAGAGTTTTCTTTTCGACCTGGATATTTGGATCGTTGAATTTGAGACAGATTTGACTGAGTTACGATCTGTGGAAGTTTTGCATTCTTGTCAGTTCGATCGCGTGCCCTACCAAAAATGCCCAAAACGTTACTCGTTTGGATCATTTTAGGGTTTCCGGGCACCGGGAAACCCCCTGCGTACTTGCCTGGCGAGTCACGCGGGCATGCACCCTTCAAGACCCCGCGCAATGTGTCTGCAATGTCATTGCTGTTTTGACTTTCGAGCTTGCACATGGCGGAACATTTATTCCCACACAATTTGCTTGCGATATCCTTTCCGCATTCCGGCACCCTTGTTTCTCTTCTGTGGAGAACCATGAATACCCACAGAAATAGATAGCATTTGGCAGCTCTGCTCAGAGTCATTTGGCGGCTCCATCCGGACTCCTTTGGCGCCTTCATGCGGAGTCATGTGGAGGCTCCATGCGGAGTCATTCGGCGGCTCCATGCGGAGTCATTCGGCGGCTCCATGCGGAGTCATTCGGCGGCTCCATGCGGAGTCATTCGGCGGCTCCATGCGGAGTCATTTCGCTGCTCCATGCGGAGTCATTTGGTGGCTCGGGTCCGAGCAGAGTCATCATAATTATGCTGCTCCAATACTGCTCGAATTGGCACACCAGCTTTATCCAACACTTGGTTGCTCTGTTGCGAGGGGGGGGGGGTGCTAAAGAAATTTTGCGTTTTGCAAGAGTTATTTCCACTGACAGGGGCTGGGAGGTACGTGTTGTGTACTTGTATTCCTTACACACAACCTTGCCTACCCCTTGTTCCTCCTGAAAACTGGTGAAAGGATATCCGGGTTTAGTCTGGCCATGTCCAGTTTATCCTCTCACACAGGACGGGTTGTGGTGTGATGGCGATGGCTACTGGCAACACTCCCTCTTGCTGTCGAGGGTTTAGAATGCTAGTGGTACTTGACATTCTGGTGTGGTCGCCAAATGTCATGACCGACATAATTTAAACAATCGACGGGGAGGCAATAGTCGTAAAATGGCAATAAATAAGATCAATTGTGCACTCATAACAACAGCAAAAAAATGAAGAAAGTTAAGTTCGCTGGCTACAAGCGAGGGTCCCTGGTTCGAGTCCTGGTGGTGACAGTCAATTTTTTCTTCAGACTTTTCCCGTTTGTCTCTTTCCCTCAAACCAGTTAATATTTTATGACTTGGGGCTCCCCGCGTGCTAGTTTGTACGTGAAGTGTGTGGGTTACAATGAGGGCTGCGTCCCACCCGCCTGTGTGGATTCACAGGGAGTGTGAGTTACGAAGTCTGAAGAAAATGTTGAACGGCCTCTGCTGGGATGACGACTACACCATAGCTCAGTGGTTAGAGCATCGCTGGCTACAAGCGAGGGTCCCTGGTTCGAGTCCTGGTGGTGACAGTCAATTTTTTCTTCAGACTTTTCCCGTTTGTCTCTTTCCCTCAAACCAGTTAATAAAGTTAAGTTCCATAACGTTTTCTTGTGACTTTCATCAGTGGAACGCCATCACATGAAAATGTAATAACTAAAACACACACTTATATTATACATGTAGCTAATATGGTTTCAGGTAGAAATACAGCAGCCAGCAAGTACAACAAGCGAAGTTTGCACCTTTGCAATGTGTGAATATAGTGGGTGTGAGAAAGACACGACATACTTCATTGTATTTTAGTTTAACACTTGAAAGTTTCAGGTATCCAGTCTCCCACAAATACTGTAACAAATTCAGCTGCAACGTAAAAAGGTTTTACTTGAAGTGCATGTACATGTACTCATAATGTTCAAACTCCTCCGCTGCTACAGACAGTGATCACTACAGTACTATCAGGGTTCTTGCCTAGTCCGTTTCTGTTTTTCGCAAACACAGGCGTTCCGTTCTTATTCGATCGATGGTTTAGTCATACATGTCCGCATCATTGTACGTACGAAAGTTTACATGTGGGCCACACAGTCATGTACCAGTACATCACTGTTGCCTGATGACGCATACCATAATGTCGAGTATTAAATCTGGGCGTTTTCCTGTAGAAGCCGATGTCGGGGCTAGGCTTCTATTCACAGCAGGCTTCTAATCAAACCACGTATTTCTATGTATGTCGACGCTAAAACCAGGCTTATCGTGCTGACAGTGTATCTTGAAAATCGGGCTTTTATTCAAAACAGGCTTCTATATGAGACAGGCTTTAATACAGGACACTACGGTATGCACACATGCCAGTTCACATTTTTTTGACTTGCCATGAAACTTTAGAAATGTATCATGCAAACATAATTATTCGGAGTTATACTTCTGAGTGTACATTATAGTGTTCTTATCTGCCAAAAATCCAGCCTAGACTGTTCTTAAAAATTGGTGAAATTCTAGCCTGGCCGTTCTTCAGCGCTCCATTCTTCGGTGCCCGACTGTACTGGATGCGTGAAATATTGATTCTGGGGTTTTGAGCCTCCGATAAGAATCTTTGATGTGCGATTGTGTGCAATTACTCCCTTGTGCTGTTTCCAACAACCACTCAGATCCAACCTCTCCTGTCCAAAACCTAACCGTCGTGGCTGTAACCGGAAACACCACTAATGTATCATGGGTCAGACCTGACATTGGAACACTGCACGGAGCTTTGACTCACTACGTGGTTGTATACAATCGCACTATTCTCTCTGGGGAGACAGGGCCAAGTCATTTCACCACAAACAGTGAACAAGTTCCAGCTGGTAGTGATCCAACACAAACTAATTTCTCCTATCAAATCCTGGGGCTAACAGCTGGCAGCAGGTATGAAATATCCATTGAACCATGTAGGATGGCTGTGTGTGGACCAGCTGCAACGACAAGTACCAACACCAGTAATGCAGGTATGTCTGATTGTGTGCAGTCTGCTTTGGGAACAATTCGCAATATTCACCCCATCTTTTTTTGAGCTTGAGTAGGCTGATGAAATTTGTGCTGCACCTGTCTGGACATTCACATGTACGAGTTACAAGATGAAGATGTCACGAGTGTGTGCTTAAAATTGTCCTGCAATGTACTGCCGGGCCACCTCGTCTATTTCATCTCTTTTTCGGAGAACTGTTACTTCCTCCGTTCACGTCAGTCCACAGGGGGTAGCCCCCCCCCCCCCAAGTTTTGCAGAGTGTGATGCTGATGAAAAATTCATACATGCGCAAAAAGGACGTCCGTCCAGTCACCGTGCAGTTGAGGAGTACAGTATGGTGTAGATCTACATGATTGTACAGATGTACTGTCTGTACATGATTGTACAGATGTACTGTCTGTACATGATTGTACAGACAGTACATGTACGTGCAGTTGAGGAGTACAGTATAATGTAGATCTACATGATTGTACAGACAGTAGAACTACATTTTTTCGGCCTCTTTTACGGGCAAATTAACACAATGGTTTAAAATGCAATAAATCATACACTGGAGAAGAAATCAGAAAAATGCATGTGTAAAATAAAGAATTTCAAACCCAAACCAAAAAAAACTTCAAATCTGTCGGTTAGGGGTACAGGTGAAACCTGGTTTCAGCGACCACACATGGTTCCAGCCCAAAGTGGTCTTATAAACAGGTGGTCTTTCAAAGCAGGTGATCTCCCTATATGGTGATATTGGTATCAAATGAATCCTCGCACTGCATGCTGTGCATTGGTGAAGTGCATAACTTAAAGGGGGAGTGATACTGAAGTATAGTCGTCGTGAGTTGTACAGAGATGATGTTTTCTCAGTTTGGGCCTACGGCATATCTTTATTACATTTTTTTCTGTTTTGGAAGTGTTGTATATTCGTAAGCTGTCCGCTGAGCTATGTGTTCAGAAGGAAAATGTTTTGTCTCTTCAGTTGTTTGGTGCCAATCCTTGTGAAAGTGTCAAGAATACTGTTCCTCATTGATGTTATTATGTTTTATTCATTTCTTCATCTTCACCCTGTTTTTGACCTGTTCAGGTGAATTATATTTTTATTCCAGATGTATATACGAGGGAAACATGGATGCAGTGAATGGGATTTCGGTCTTTGACCACTTTGTGGTGGGTCTGATCTACTCACCTCCCACCGCTTAGGAGCTGCATCTGCGCCTTGATCCAAGAGGGTGGTGGCGTTCCTGCGGATGCGGAAAACTGGGCCTTTGGCCGAGTCTCACGCGAACCGTGAATTTATTTTATTTTTTATAGCGTGAGGTTTTGGTCTATGCTTTTTGCTTCAGCTCTATAAGTTGCTGCATTTGCATTTATACAAAAGAAAAATGGACCAAGGAACAACAAGTTACGCTATAAATCAACCCTTGGCTCTCCATCCGAGTCTATTTGACATTTATCCACTGTTCCCTGTACTTACCCATGATGAGAAGGGAACGAAAAGGTTCGGTTTCTAAATTGGCTTTACTTGGCTGTGTGGATTGCGTCAGTGCTGACACTTCTTTCGACATTGGATACGCCTCCAATTTTTCCCTAGCTAAGAACAAAATTGAACTCGCACTCATGTCAAACAACAAAGTAGCAGAGGTTTTGTTCCAGGACGTTTTCTTGTCACATTCGTCAATGGAATCTCGTGACTGAAAGAAAGTGGATGACCAACAATATGATATACCGGTACATGTATACTAGCACACTTTTAATAGGTGAAGATTAACAATGTGCAAAATATAGTTACAAGTACGTGACAAGTGTTCACAAGCTCTCATTAGGGAAGTGCAAAGGTTGGTACTAGTGCATTAAGATGGCAATGTGTAACATGCACGTGGAAAAATGCATTGGTAAGATGGGTGAGTGTGATAATAGAAAGAGTGTGAGTGCAGTAACACTCTTTCTATAATTCACATTCACACTAGGTGACTCGGCTCCGTGACGTCTAGCGGCTCCAAGAAGAGTCGTCATGATTATGCTGCTTCAATACTATCACCAGTTGCTCGAATTGGCACTCCCAGTTTAATCCTCTCACACACAACGGGTTGTGGTGTGATGGCAATGGCTACTGGCAGCACTCCCTCTTGCTGCCGGGGGTTCAGAATCCTGGTGTGTTCGCCAAATGTCAAGACTGGGGAGGGTCCGACATAATTCATTGAATTTTAGTTTAACATTTGAAAGTTTCAGGTATCCAGTCTCCCACAAGTACTGTTACAGCATCAGGACAAATTTGGTAGCAAAGTAAAGGTTTTACTCATAATGTTCGAACCCCTTTGCTACTAAAGACAGTGATCACTAGGCATGACAAATATGTTCTAGGGTTTCGAGTCTCCGATATGAATCTTTGATGTGCTATTGTGTGTAATTATTCTCTTGTGCTGTTTCCAACTATCACTCAGATCCAACCTCTCCGGTCCAAAACCTAACCGTCATGGCTGTAACCGGAAACACCACTAATGTATCATGGGTCAGACCTGACATTGGAACACTGCATGGAGCTTTGACTCACTACGTGGTCGTATACAATCGCACTATTCTCTCTGGGGTGACAAGCAATTTCACTACAAACAGTGAACAAGTTCCAGCTGGTAGTGATCCAGCACAAACAGTTTTCTCCTATCAAATCCTGGGGCTAACAGCTGGCAGCAGGTATGAAATATCCATTGAACCATGTAGGATGGCTGTGTGTGGACCAGCTGCAACGACAAGTACCAACACCAGTAATGCAGGTACGTCTGATTGTGTGCAGTCTGCTTTGGGAACAGTTCGTAATATTCACCCAGGCGCGTGCTCGGCGATGGGCACGGGGGGCACGTGCACCCCCCAAAAATTTTCAATCTGGGTAATTGCAATTGTAATGTATGCAAATATGCTCTAAAATTCAAGAAAGGTTGCAAACAAATTGCAGAAAATTGCTGGGGGGGGGGCTCCCCTCGGCTCCCGTGCACCCCCCTAGTTGGGGGGCCGAGCACGCCCCTGTTCACCCCATCTATTTTTGAGATGGAGTAAGCTGATGAAAGTTGTGCTGCAAGTGTAGTTACATTCACATAATATATACGAGTTACAAGATGAAGATGTCTCGAGTGTGTGTAGAACATTGTCCTACAATGTACTGCTGGGACACCTCGTCTCTTTTTCAGGGACTGTTACTTTTCCTTGTTCACATCAGTTCGTTTTGTTGTACTTCTCTTTATAATCCTTTGAGAAATTATTGAGCCACATGTACTAAAAATTTGTAATGAAGTAGAATTAATTGGAGCACATCCCAACTTCTGATTGCTCACGGATGAACCCTGGTAATAATCAGAAAATTCAAATTCAACTCGGTTGAGCTGCTCGTTTGCTTGTTTTAAAATTGTATTCTATTTTCGTCACGCGTTTTATATCGCATATGTTTTTAATCACCATCAATATCCTGTTTGGCTGTTGTCGCTTCGGCTTATGCGAAAGCTATACATGCTGTGTATAACAACATTGCATTGATGGCAACGCGGAGAAGCTTCTAATAATAATAAAAAGTAAAAAATAGAATAAAAAGTGTCTGCAATGTCATTGCTGTTTGGCTTTCGAGCTTGCAACTTGCAGAACATTTGCTCCCACACAATTTCCTTGCGTTTTTTTTCTTTCTGCGTTCTGGCATTTTGTTTCTCTGCTGTGGAAAGCCATGAACACCCGCAGAAAACAACGCGGCGGGGCGATGCACCTGCTTCAGCTGTCGAACCTCCTGTGATGGCTGCAGTTTCATCTGGCTTGCCAAAGAGACCTCGCACAGCTACTGCCGGCCGCGCAACCACCAGCCCTAGCCGAGCCCCGGACAGCACGGACACCTCCAACCTGCAGGCCTTGATCGAGCAAGAGGTTCAACGCACCATGTCCACTGCTGTCACCAACGCTGTCCAGCTTCTCCTCTCCCTGCCTCGCTCTGCATCGCCGCTTGCCGTCGGCAAACCGGACCCTGCTGTGAATGCAGTGACAACTGCCACGCAGCACCAACACTCACAGCAGGTGAACCTGACTGTCCCACAGGCTCTCCTCGATCGCATCCAGAGAGGTGGGCCTGTGGACTTTGATTGCTTGTTGCCCGATACGATTGCAGCCAGTTCTAGTGCAGCACCGGTGGCGTTCCAACTTGGTAGCTCCGGTTGCTCATTCTGCGCATTAGAATATTTTATGAATCCGAGTCCAGAACTGTTTGTTGCAGGGTGCATGAGCACTTGGGTTGAAGTCTGGACACTGTTCATGAATAGCCTGTGTTCCGCTGCTCCTCACTGCCTTCATGAGTGCATGTCGTACCAGGCCATGATCGCCGCGGCCAATCACCAGTTCTTGCCCGAAGCATGGCTGTCGTATCAGGCCATGATTGCCGTGGCCAATCGCCAGTTCTTGCATGGAGCATGGCTGTCGTACGATTGTCAGCTCCGTATAGCCATGGTGTCACAACCCGGCAAGAAATTGGATGTTATCGACATCAACTTGGGGCAATTGTGCTTCATTGGGAAGGCATGACCTGCCCACCATCATTTCCGTACCCATTTCTTCCCCACCGCCAGTTCAACAACAGATTCGCATCCTGGGTGGTAGCTAGCCCATATGCCGCAACTACAAGTGCCAGCTCAAGCAGTGCTTCTTCGCCCATATCTGCCTCCAGTGACGAAAGGAGCACCCAGGGCTCAGCGCCCAAGGCCAAGCCAGGAACTGTGTAAGCACTCATGTTGACCCTGTCACCAATAATTACCAGTAGTATTTTTGTAGAGGCACTAGCAGTAGCACCACCCATAACGTGCACCCTTGTGTAAGCACCACATCTGACTCTACACATCAGATGCACTTGTATGGGCACTAGCACCACCCATACACCTCTCTTAGTTTCCATATCTCTAGCTTATAGGTCACGAATAACTCGTTCTCATGTGTTTTCTTCTCTTTTTTTACATTTATTACTGGCTCGGTATCCGAATTAAAATCTTCTTCTTTGTGCTGTTTCATTACCTCCTTACTGTACTTAATCCACTCTTCTTGTTCCTTTCCCTTTGCCTGCATTTCACCTGATGAGAAGGCTTGAAAGTATACTTGTGAAACCAAACACTTTCAAGATGTTCATAAAGAGCCTGAAGTGTGTCCTTTTTCTGAGTATTATGATTACTTTGAAGTACTATTATCACATTCTTGTCTCAGAGGAAACTATTTCTTATTTTGTTGGGGATTTCCCAACAGGCATTGTTGCCTTTTTACTGGGAACCCTAAATGTGACTTTCTGGCAGCGCGAAACAAAGCAGGCGACCCGGCCTGGCGACAAGGTGGAGGCAGCACATTCCACCTGTCCGCACCAAGATACGCAATGGAATGGACACCATACCGGGAGTTGCAGGCAAGCAAGAATGCTAGTGGTACTGGATATCCTGGTGTGTTCGCCAAATGGCATGACCGGGCAGAGGGTCCGACATAATTCATTGTATTTTAGTTAAACATTTGAAAGTTTCACGTATCCAATCTCCCATAAGCACTGTAACAACATGAGGACAAATTTGGCTGCAACGAAACTGTTTTGCTGATAATGTTCGAACCCCTCTGCTACCACAGACAGTGATCACTGTGCATGACAAATATATTCTAGGGTTTCGAGTCTCCGATATCTTTGATGTGCTATTGTGTGTAATTATTCTCTTGTGCTGTTTCCAACAACCACTCAGATCCAACCTCTCCTGTCCAAAACCTAACCGTCGTGGCTGTAACCGGAAACACCACTAGTGTGTCATGGGTCAGACCGGAAATTGCAACACTGCACGGAGCTTTGACTCACTACATGGTTGTATACAATCGCACTATTCTCTCTGGGGAGACAGGACCAAGTCATTTCACTACAAACAGTGAACAAGTTCCAGCTGGTAGTGATCCAACACAAACTAATTTCTCCTATCAAATCATGGGGCTAACAGCTGGCAGCAGGTATGAAATATCCATTGAACCATGTAGGATGGCTGTGTGTGGACCAGCTGCAACGACAAGTACCAACACCAGTAATGCAGGTAAGTCTGATTGTGTGCAGTCTGCTTTGGGAACAATTCGTGATATTCACGCCGTATTTTTACTTGAGCTTGAGCAGGCTGATGAAAGTTGTGCTGCAAGTGTCGTTACATTCACATATACGAGTTACAAGATGAATATGTCTCGAGTGTGTGCATAACATCGACCTACAATGTACTGCTGGGACACGTCGTCTCTTTTTCGGGGAACTGTTACTTTTCCTTGTTCACGTCAGTTCGTTTTGTTGTACTTTTATGAAGCATTGTACTCTAGGTTAGTAGGTTAGTACTGAGCTCTGTGAGTATTTCTCCTGTCTACTTTACGGATATAGTTTCTGTTGCCGCGAATCAGTTCCTTCTTCGATCCTATTTCTATTCTCTTCATCGTTCTTTTCAAACCCTATGCTGTACGCATATGGGTGTATGCGATTACGCGCTTGTCAGTTTTTATCCTGAGTTCACGTATGACATCACTATTTTGTGTCCTGTTTTTTCTTCTTCAATTTGTTTCCATGTGGTACACGTGTACGGTGTAGTGCCACATGTGTTCCGCTAGTTTGAATGTTTAGCATGCTGCGCGCGTTCAAGCACTGGCTTTCTCTTCCACGTACCGTTTACTCTTTTTTCTTGCTGCGCTCTGTACACATAGAACAGCTTTCACTGCCTTTTGCGCTCTGGGAGCTGTTTAAAATGTGCCCGGCCATAACGGATATCAGGAGGGATAAGGCCGCTTTCCTTTAATTTTTATTCTTTTTCTGGAAAGGGAGGGATCATTCTTGGTCCTTTGGAAAAGGAACAAGCAAGCTCCACGAGCTTAGTTTTCTCTCTTGGATTTTGATAAATATTATTATTAGGGGTGAAACGAGTATCTATTTTGACCAATCGATCACTCATTCACAATATTCGATCGAATATCCGATTATTTCGAGTATTTCGTCAATGTTCAAAAGCGCCAGATTTGTGAGTTCTCGACCAATTCGGAAGAAATTATCTGTAAACATAGAACAAAAGTCGCCAACGTCTTGTACAGAGTGTAAAGACTAATGATTTTCATCAGTACTTTCATATCGCATAGCTAACTAACGTTACTTGCCGTGGTGATCGCATGGTCAAAGTCATAAAATACTGACTCAAAGGCATGCATAATGCATTCATACCATGTACCAGTGGACGAGCGATACAACAAAAGTTTTTTGAAAATAGAATGCCAATACTAAAAAAAAAAAAAAAAAAAAAAAAAAAAAAAAAAAAAAAAAAACGATCGAGTGCAAAATTTCGAATACTCGCTCGTTTGAAATTTGCGAACGATTACTCGAATATTCGAACTAATCGTTTCACCCCTAATTATTATGATAAACACAATGCAGAATCAATGATTGAGAAGTTCCGCATAACATAATCAGTAATTACATTGGTAAAAAACGTAGTCGATCTAGGGAAAGTCTTGCGTACACTGCATGCGGATCTGTGTTCCGCCGTGCGGAGTTTTTGAATCACGTAGCTGCCTTTGGCCACTCGGAACGTGGTCGTGTATGACCGGGTCGACTTGGAGGAGTGAATCATAAATTTGTACTCGACATAGACAACGTTCCGTTAGTGGAGTGCAAACTCGCGAATTCACGGGTTTTTCCCGCCCACTAACGTAAAGTTGCTCAACTTTGCGTAGTTACGAACCTCTCCAATGTCGCTTGTTTTGTTCGTGATCCACCATTCGATAGCAGTAAATCGTCACAGCAAGAACACAGCGATATAGTTATGGAGTTGTAGCAACCCAAACATCACTGGGGGACCAACTTACAGTGATGCCTTCTCCGCTGTCAAATGATTGCTTTCCAGAGTGAGCACCGCTGCCTTCTCTCACAATGGCACGTATTCATCTAAAATGGCGGACGCCCACGCTGCATACATGGTATGGGCGCACGTGAGCCACGCTGTGGGGACACTTGTTCGATTCCGCATACAAATGTATACAAATGCGTGGAAAAGAAGTTTCTCTAATCGCTGGAACTTGTGAGTTTCTTTCGATATAGACTACTGGTCTTCAAGGTATACAATAGTAGTGACCCAACGAAGTGGAATTTGCGGAATACAACGTTCGAGACGGCTCAACAAGTCAAGAGTAAAGTGCGAATTTACTATGTACGCTAATGAGAAAACCTACTTGTTTCCCCGCAGCGCTAGTCACGTGCACCTTCAGTGAATACGTGTCATTCTTTTTTATATTTTAGAGACAGTGTATTTTTCTTTATCAGAGCAGTGAGGCTTCCTGGAGCTTCATATAAGGCAGATTGGTTAGTGCAGGTCTTTTTTTCCCGGTTTACATGTAGAGTAAAACCTGTGACTACCGACCACCCCTTGGTGCCAGCAAAAGCGGTCTTTAGTTAGAGGTTTGCACCGCGCGACCATATATGAATCCCATTATATGATATGTATATCAAAATGCAGCTAATACAATTCCCCAAGACTTGCGCGATGCCATTCTTATTTCAGGTCAAACAACACTTGGAGAGAAAGATGGAGAGATGGAGAGAGACAAAGAGAGAGAGGAGATTAATAATTTTTGTGGACATCAAATTCAGCTCCTACTTCTGAAGCCAGGAGTCAAACGTTCCCTGTGGAAGTTTCGGTTTGCGCTGGGCTTCAAATTTGTTCATGCGATCAATCGTACTGATCCTTCAGCATCAGGACCTTGCGGTGCTGCTTTGCTTCTGGATTCCTTGATGCCATCGTCGATTCGTCTGTATTACTGGGGTGACAGAGCCGCTTAGTCTTCGTTTCTCCTCCGAGTAGTAACATCGATCAGAGAGCGCTTTCGATGCGCTCTCCAAGACGTTTCCTATCATGTTTATTCTAGACAGCGCTTGAAATTCTGACAGGTGTAGTGCAGTCCACACCGACTCCACAGTCAAAATGACCTGCGTTCATGTCTTCAGCTGTAGTATCGAAAGATTCCTTTCAGGACCACGGAAAATCATCAAAATTTGAAGAAGGAGCTTCGAGCAACATTTTGATTTCCAACAGCGCGGTCGCTAGTTACAGGTAAAAAATCGTCTTTGGGACAAGAAAAGGCGGTCGCTGGTCACGTTCAGCAGGTAGTCGCTAGTCACAGCGCATTTTGAATGTGAGACCGTCCGTGCCTGACGAAGTGGTCGGTAGTACCAGGCTGGTCGCTAGTCACGGTGGTCTTTAGTTACAGGTTTTACTGTAGTTCTTTGCCTATTGTTTTAGTATAATTATAAGGAAGTTGTTTGCTCCCCGCACTGGAGCTCGCGCTTTTTCCGCCAGCCTGATTTGACACTTGCCTTCCGGAGCAGACAAGAAGTCCATTGAACCTTCTACTCGGCAAGCCTTTGCAAGTTTTCCGCAAGAAAGTACCACTCCCTGCTCAATACACAGTGTTTCAGGAACTTCTCCCCCCCCCCCCTCCATCAGTTGAGCTTGAGTAAGCTGAGGAAGATTTTGCCTGAAGAGCACCACTTAGCCATCACTGGGGATACAAAATTACAGAGACGTTTCGTTTCCAGCGCAACAAACACCTCGTTAACACCAGACGAAAACGAAAACAAGCTAAACAAACTAAACATCACCGCAAACTACGAATGTTAGCTTTGACGAGATGGTGACGAAAGACAAAGGACCACGCCTACAGTGCGCTCGCCCTCTCATGTTATTTCATAACATGTGCTTATCTTGGTTGCGCTCACCTTCTCCTCCTTATGTTATTTCTATAACTTAGAACCTTCCAAGTTGGAAGGCTGTTGGAGTGCGCATCCAAGATGTGCTAGAGCTGTTAGCCAGTTAGTTGTAGAACGTCAGTACCGTCGGTCAGTGTCGTGCAATGTTATCGCATGAGCTGATTGTTTAGTAACTGGCGGTGTTAGTGGACAGTATAGCGTAACTTGTAGTTCCTTGGTCTTTCTCTTTTGTATAAATTAAACCTTGGCTCTCCATCTCAGTCCAATAATAATAATAATACATCATTCTGACATGTACTACTATTGGAAACATGCTAGTGTTGGTACTACTATTGGAAACATGCAAGTGTTGGAGACGTGTATGTTTATTGGGGAAAATACGGTATGTAGTATGACTGTTGAGATTGAGTGTTGGAATCTTTGTTTTTTGTGTTTTCATCTTTTCCTTTTTCTGCATACCACAGTACCCACAGGGATGGTGCAGAACGTAGCCACTTCAAGTGACAGTAATAGTATCCGTTTGACATGGAACAGGCCCCCCTTAGCAACACTCAATGGAAGACTGTCTTACTACAATATAGTGTACAATCGCACGCTGTTGTCTGGAGTAGCATTCAATTTGACCACTGCAACTGTGACTGCAACGGTGGGCAGCGAAACGGACACAGCGTTCTCCCACGACATCACTGGGCTATCTGCTGGTAGCAAGTTTAATGTGTCTGTGGAACCATGCCGAGGGTCGCCATCAGCTTCCAATTTATGTGGACCAGCATCTGTTCATACAATTGATACTGCCAATGAACGTTAGTTGTAGGCTTGAAGAAACTTGGTGCATTTTTACATTGCTACTTCTTCTGGCTTTATTTTCTTTCAAGAGAATAGGAATCGGAGAGCATTCAGTCGCATTTGGTTTGCAGTTTGTCAAGACTCTCCAGTTCTGTGGGTGTCAAATAATGAACAAGCAGGGATCTCCCCGTTAGTTGTAGGCTTGAAGAAACTTGGTGCATTTTTACATTGCTACTTCTTCTGGCTTTATTTTCTTTCAAGAGAATAGGAATCGGAGAGCATTCAGTCGCATTTGGTTTGCAGTTTGTCAAGACTCTCCAGTTCTGTGGGTGTCAAATAATGAACAAGCAGGGATCTCCCCACGTCCATTATTCCGGTGCGTACAAGGCTGCATGATCACTGTTCGCAGCACCCCCCCCCCCCCCGTATGCTACTACAGTCAAACCTGCCGTTAGCGACCTCTGCTGTAGGCGACCATCTACCGTTAGCGACCGATTTTCCGTGCACCGAAGGTTTCACATACAAATTGATCTGTCCAGAGCGACCATCTGCTGTGCGCGACCAGCGACCACGATTTCATGCACGGTGGCTGCATTCAAATCTGCTGTAAGCGACCGCGACCTACGTTCAGTCAGGTGTGAAACTGTACTTGCCAGTGTGCTGTCAACGGCATGCCATATGCAAGGTGTGAAAATGCGCTGTCTTGCAAGTGCGCCCCAATATCCAATAAAAATGTGATTTTTCATATCATTTAATGATAGGAAAAATCACATTATTCTCGTCGATTTGAGTACATGGAAGCATAATTATATGCATGCCCGGTATGCCGGATTTACCATACATCTGCCGTAAGAGACCATCTACCGTAAGAGACCGCTTTTTCTTGCACCAAGGGGCGGTCGCTTACGACAGATTTGACTGTAGTAGTCAAGCCAATTGAATCCGCCATTGCATGAGACGAGTACTTCAAGTAATACCAAGAGTCCATAAACAAGAGTATGCAACTGTGATCTCTTTTCTATGGGCCAGATGCGCGGCGCGCTTTCTTCATTACATCATTCAGCTGCAGTTACGTAATGGAGGCAGCACCCCGCGCATCTGGCCCATAACCACAGTTGCATACTCTTGTTTATGCACTCTTGGTAAAACTCGTAGTGAAGAGGTTGAAGTACTTGCATCATCCCATACGAGGAAAGTAAATGCCCGTGCCATCATCGTGGATGCAATGTTTACTATGCTATGATGTGTGTAGTATGCATGCAATGTTTAATGAGCATTTATTAATAGCATGCTAACGCAAGTTAGCAGCCATGCGCCAGCCCAACGAGCTGGCCCGATTTGCGCGCATGCGTAAGTCACGCGGACTTGTGCCCCAAAAGATCCCGTGCAAGGTCTCTTTCTTGATCTTTGCTGTTTTGACTTTCAAGCTTGCAACTTCCAGAACTTTTTTCAGCGTGTAGTGTACAGGCAATGTTTACTGTGATGTGTGCAGTGTGTAGTGTGCATGCAGGCCATACACAGCACTCCAGTGCCTGTATGTGTAAAGGGCTAAGCTGCAAAAGTCCCCTTTTTTACGAGATCAGACAACTATGCAGCAAAGGACTTTACATCATGGTTGCGTGGTCTTTCATTTTTCAAAGAACATCAGGTCTTTACAGCCCACTGGCCTGTATCCACTTTTTATGTTATTTTTGAACTCCAAAGACCACCACCCCTTGCCTCCACAAAAGTGAATAAAGGAGACGTAATGGGGAAGTTATAATGTCACTTGAAAACACCTCCATCTTACGTGCTCCACCATGTAAGATGGAGGTGTTTTCAAGTGTAAAGCTATAGGCAGACACCAGAGTGACAACATGCACAGATTTAAACGTCGTTTTCATGTCACTCGTCAGAAGTAGTAGTTTCTTTGTAGTTCAGTTCTCAGTGTGATGACGAATTCTGATGAGAGTCAAATGAAAACGGCGTTTAAATCTGTGCATGTCGTTCTGGTGACATTGTATGACTGTGTGCACTCTCTTTCTACTAATTCCACGCATATCAGTGTGTGCCAGCCATGGCAAAACAGAAATATCTACTGCCATATTTCAGGGACAATTAAAGTGCCATATTATTCATTACATGAAAAACCTTACACACACCATCTTCAAGTGGTCTCTTCGCTGCAAATTACAATATCTCAATCAGTATCTCAATTGAGATATTGTACAGATGGAATCCTGATAATTCGAACACCAAAATGCGGAGGGGGGGGGGGGGGGGAACTTCTAATTATCCGGACATTCTAAGGGTGCGTTCTTATATTCTCTAGCTTCTAAAAGAAGAAGAAAAGAGTAGTCGAAGAAACTGGGATTACTCAAGAACGGGTCTCGAAGAATTCGGAGATATTTTGCACATGTCAAGCAAAATGAAGCGTCAAAGGGGCCGCGATCTTGAGTGATGAATGTATGTGCGTATGCGAAAAGGGAAATGCGTACACTCATGATGAACACGTGGCTTTTAGTCGTAGTTCGCATGCGCTGATCCCAAACCGCGGGAATCTCCAAGTTTCAACCACCTCTGAAGCTTGGAGAGCTTGGAGAGCTTTGGAGAGCCTCCTAAAAGTCGGAGAGGATATAAGAACAGCTCTCGAACTTTTCGGAGAGTCTCCAACTTTTCCGAGAGGATTTAAGAACGCACCCTAATTATCCAAACAAGTGCCCACAACACATTATGTATGTCAAAATGCTCGCATTGACACGCAGAATTGCACTACGCACCTTAGACACAGATTTAGTGTGGACACTGAACTGCCTGCACATGCAAACCAAAGTGATTTGCAGAAATTAAAGTGAACTTCTAATTATGGTTTGCTAACTTCGAATTATCAGCACAAATCCCACACATTTTCTATGTAAGTGGATTCCGTGGGACTTCTAATTAACCGGACATACCCAGTTCGAGGTTCTAATTATCAGAAATTGTTATGTGGAAATCGTATTGACAGAGTTCTAATTAATTAACTTAACTGTTGATCGCAATTCTAAAACTATTGTCGCCTCGACGCCTATTTACTTAAGTAGTATGTTCTAATTAAGGTAAGGTTTTTCAGCCTTGATCCAAGAGGGTGGTGGCGTTCCTGCGGATGCGGAAAACTGGGCCTTTGGCCGAGTCTCACGCGAACCGTGATTTTTTTTTTTTTTCATGTAATGAAGTGGCTGCAGTGGAGCTTGCACACATTAAGACATAATTATTATTCATCCTACCATAATGTATGCACACAGCTATTGATTTGAAACTTTGCCAGTCTTTTGTACTCCCATTATTTCCATCTGCAGAGCCGACGTCTCCTGTCCAGAATCTGGGAGTTATGGGCACTGGGCAAACTGTGAGAGTAACATGGAACAGACCCAACCTTGAAACATTGCGCGGAGCATTGACCCATTACAAGATTGTGTACAATCGAACCAAGTTGGCTGGCATCGCGCATCATATGATATCAAATTCTGTGGATGTTAATGTAACACTGGCCACTAAGGAGGATTACTCACACGATGTAGCCAATCTATCATCTGGCAGTGAATATGTGTTTTCTGTTGAACCATGCCGGAGATCAACACCATCAAGTAGCTTGGTGGTTGTGTGCGGACCACTCGACTCGGGAACAATTCAAACTGGCAACAAAGGTTAGTTGAGCTGTGCGCACATGGGTTTAATTTAGACTAATAGTGAGAGATAGACTTTGAACTTGTTTCATGAAAGTTAAGTGTGACTGAATGTTTGTAGCGGCCCAACACTGACCTCACTGAAAGTTGGCTCCCTTTATCCTTGGCTGGACCTTATTCACCCACCATGGCAGTTTGATTCAGAGACCCTCCCTTCCTGGCTATGTTTGTTGTTGCACTACAGCCATGTACAATATCACACTCAAAGGTCAACTGACCGCGCGCTTGATACACATCTCCCATCATCATTATGGTCCTGTGTGAGCCGGGCTGGTCACAGCACTACGGCATCACAGACGTTTTTATCCTGTACACGAGTCGTACGTTGGCACCGCTTGCAGTCGCTGCCGTGCTGCACTGCTGCACTGTTTTCGGTGCGCTCTCCTTGTGCCTCTTGCACTTGCATGCACTTCCCCTTCACTTGGTCGCTTGTCTTCTGCTCAAGACATTGCCGATGCTGGATTGAATTTGAATTTGAATTTGTAGTCTGCAATCTGTGGATGTGTTACCGTATTTTTCCGGTTGTAAGTCAACCTTTTACGACGAAAAATAGAAGGAGAAAGGGTGGGGGTCGACTTACAATCGGGATTCAACTTATAACCGGGAACTATCAGTAAAATGACCTGCACTGCATGCACGAGTGCACCGTGTGTACACACTTTTGCCAGTTTATTGGCCTTTTTCAAGGATTGGGACGTTATACCCTCCATTAAGGAATGTGTTACATGATTTGTTGATGTGTTAGTAGCAGGGAGTAGTTAGTAGTGCTTCGTTGGGTGATAACTTTGAAAAGCAGAATTGAGACCTCTGGATACGGGGGTCGGCCTATAACCGGGGTTGACTTACAACCGGTAAAATACCGTAGGTGATTGTAGCCTGTAGTCTGTGGATGTGTTAGGCAGTGGGTTCAAGTCCTACCTGGGAGCGGTTTTTCCAGCCGTGCTGCTACCCACAGTTAACTGGAAGCTTGTGGCCAAGCCCAAGCGGTACATGGATGCGGCTAATGGGGTTTCTCGGCACTTGTGCCAGTGGTCGTGAGACTTATCCCCTCACCCCCACCGTTAGTCGCTGCATCTGTGCAAGTGGTCGTAAGACTTGTCCCCTCACCCCCACCGTTAGGCGCTGCATCTGTGCCAGTGGTGGTGAGACTTGTCCCCTCACCCCCACCGTTAGGCGCTGCATCTGCTGCTAGGGTGTACCCTGTGTTAGCGGCCGTCGTCAGTTCCCTACGGGAACGGACACGATACTTTTTTTAATGTGTTATGCTAACGTGTGACGCGAATGTCGTTCCTTTCCAGATCCCGAGGGCCAGGTTCAGCTGTTGGCATTGTCCCTATCATCTGGTGGCAACGAGGTAAATGTGAGCTGGGAAAAACCACCGGCACGTACTCTAAACGGAATATTAACTCACTTCAAGGTTGAATACAAACGCATTATTCAATCCGGAGTGACGGAAACGCCGCCAACCATGATGGTTGTTCATGAGAACGTGACTGATCAGACAGTTCAACGGTTTTCAACGGTCGTCACACGCCTGTCCCGTGGTAGCCAGTATGCATTGTCAGTTAGCGCCTGTAGAAACATATCCTGTGGACCAGCAACAATCATGTCAATCAACACATCTGATGCAGGTTAGTAACGGTTACTGACTGTGTATTTCATGACTCATCTACGACAGTAGTAATATCCTCAACTGCCATCACCACACCGAATGCATGCATCATCCCGAACACTACGCACAACTTCCCACCGGGATTAGACAAACAAATGGAATATTTCACCTCCTTCTTGACGTGCATGCAGAATTGGTGCCCACCCAGGATATACAGACTCTCTCCAGTTCAACGCTTCTTTGTCTTTTGCGTGATTGGTTTGTCGTTAATTAAGCACACTACAGTCTGTTTCAAAAAGATTAGCAATCAAGTTTGGGTCTTAAAAAGTATGAAGATAAGGGAAATTTGGACAACAAAGTACATAAAATGGCTTGTTAGGGCACGGCAAATTGTTCTGTGAAGGTTTCGGAACAATTGGACCAACCGTTAAGGAGTTAGAATTTCGGCCAGGTTTCTGGCCTTTTCCCATGGTTTATAATTTGCCCTGGAAGCCAGTATCGATTTGTTATCAAAAACCACGATTTATCCCTTCCTTTTTGGCCTTGTGGTTATGAATACTGTCTGCAGACCATGAAGTTGTGAGTTCAAATCCCAACAAATCTTCAAGTCAAATATTTTTTCTTCATTTTTTCATTGTTTTGGTGATCACGCTGGTACAAGCGGACAAAGAAGGTGGCTGCGCCAAACGACTTGTTGTTGGAGCTTGCGTTTCCTGCCGAACTGACTGACACTTGACTGGCTCACGCCATGTGAAGTTGTGAACACACACAACACTGAAACCGTGTGAGTGAACACGGAAGTCATTGCGCTGTAGCTACGTGTTGTTGAATACACTGGCACATCGATCGATCGATTTCTGTTTGAGAATTATTTTAGTATTTTGAAGATCGCCAATTATTTATTTGAATTTAGGAGTCAACGCCGTCTTCTATCAGCTTTCACACGCGTCTGCTTTTCTCAAAAATGTCGTCGAAGTCACACGGATAGCTTTGCCACATCAAGGCCTTGGGGATGAGTCTGTGTCGATGTCGTTTTCGTCACATCGTGAGAGTAAATTGCATCCGCGGCAGCTCAAAGAATCTATTTGGTCACAAAACGAATTGGGACGCATCCCGCTCGTCAAAAATTTACCACACTTTCGACATGTCCTCGACCAGCTCCTCTCTGACAGTCTGACTCCATATCGATACGAGGAAGAAATCATTTGTTGTAAACCAGACGAACATGTACGAGTACCGACGTCAGTGAGTTGTCATTTTTCATGCTTTCGCGCGGAATATTTCTTCGAGTTCACAGTGAGTTTTTCCAGGCAGCGCTCGAGCGCTCATACGGTAAGACGGCAAACTCCCCGGGCGATCGCCAGGATTGCTAATCTTTTTGAAACTGACTATAATGCGTGCTAGTTTGTACGTGAAGTAGGTGGGTTACAGTGAGGGCTGTGTCCCACTCGCTGGCCTCAAACGAAGGTCCCTGGTTCGAATCCTGGTGGTGACAGTCAACAGTTACTTTTCCCGTTTGTGTCTTTCCCGCAAACCAGTGACTAATAAGGATGATATGGGTCCTATAGAATCGGCTATAGAAATTACTGCGGGGAGCGTTCCACCTTAAACAACTATGTACTTTGTATTTTTGGTTGGTGTGTAACTTTCCAGTTGAATATAGCAGCCAGCAGAAGTGGGATTCCGGTAATAGTTATGTTCGAACTCCTGGTATTCTCCTTGCAAGAAACTGAGAGGTTTTGACTTCAGTGCTAATTGCACTTCAAATGAAAGAAGGTGACTGCTCCTAACCTCGGAGCTCGCGCATTTTGCCAACAGACTGACACTTGACTGACTCACGACTGTCGTCATGAGCACGTGAGAAAAGAATGCCGGACTGGCGTATCTGTGTGTTGCGCCACTCCCGTCTGAAAAACACTCAGGTGCCCGGATATTCTCAACTTAGCGGCAAGGGTTCTTTCTTACCAGTAGGGAGGGACATTTCTGATGCCAAGGGTTGCATTTGACTATTGCAGCTACATGGGTGAAAGCCTACAACACTCTCATCAATTCTACATAGCCGCTGTATTGCTACAATCTACAAGTACAGTGTGCAAGTGAACTCGATGAAAACAAAAGAGGCAAAGAAAGTGAGGCGCAAAGCAAGCATGTAAATCCTGCATGCAAAAAGGCAACAGTTACCCCGCTGCACGGAAGGCGCATGTACACAGTGGAGGTGTAAAAGAGGATGTGGGGTCATTCGACTCAAATGTCCCACCGCAGCTAACAGCGACATTGTAGGCAGCAGCAGCAGGTCACTCTATAATCGACAGCTAACAGCGACATTGTAGGCAGCAGCAGCAGGTCACTCTATAATAGACATGCTGTGCTCGATGTGGAGACGAATGAAAGCATGTGCTTAGTTGCTTAGCCCTGGCCCTGAGTGAAACGGCAGCCGTCTTTGCTGTAGTCCTTTTCCCACCTGTCTTGCTGGCTATTACCGTATGTCCGCACCTTCACAGCCATGGCGGCATATTCAATTATAAAGCCAGCCTCAGTTATAAAGCCATGGGCTTCGTAAATGGAATGACATTTGAAGCATGTTTTGCAAAAATGAAGGAATAAGTACAATACAATGCTAATAAACTTACAGCCCAGCAGGAAGGGTGAACAAGTAAAAATTTCTGTGTGGACTTTGACTTTTATGGCATGGCGTAGTGGGTGAGTCATTTTGCATCTAAAATATCTAGGAAAGCAGCGGTAAACAGTTTCCTCTGAGACAAAAATGCGATAATACTCATAAAAAGGACACACTTCAGGCTCATTACAAACATTTTGAAAGTTTTTGTCTTCACAAGTATACTTTCAAGCCTTCTCATCAGGTGAAATACAGGCAAGGGAAAAGGAACAGGAACAGTGGATTAAATACAGTAAGAAGGTGGTAAAACAGCGCAAAAAAAAAGAAAGAAAGAAGATAGCTAAAGTAAACAGCGAAAATTGCAATAATGACACAAAGGTGCAAATGCGAGAAAACACCTTCTTACTGTATTTAATCCACTGTTCCTGTTCCTTTTCCCTTGCCTCTATTTCACCTGATGAGAAGGCTTGAAAGTATACTTGTGAAGACAAAAACTTTCAAGATGTTTGTAATGAGCCTGAAGTGTGTCCTTTTTATGAGTATTAAAGCAGCGGTGTTTCGAATATAGGGCCATGGCTTTAAAGGCGCTGACCCACGGTATATTTGTTCTGGAAGTGTCTTCATGTTACAAGCACAAGTTCACTTCCCACTGAACAGATGAAGGAGTGTATTCTGTTTGTCTTGTTTTGTCCTTGTATTTTTTCTGGTATTGTGTGTGATTATTTTTCTTGTGCTGTTTCCAACTACCACTCAGATCCAACCTCTCCGGTCCAAAACCTAGCTATCATGGCTGTAACCCACAACACCGCTACTGTAGCATGGAACAGACCTGGAATTGCAACACTGCACGGAGCTTTGACTCACTACATGGTTGTATACAATCGCACTATTCTCTCTGGGGAGACAGGGATAAGTCATTTCACTACAAACAGTGTGCAAGTTCCAGCTGGTAGTGATCCAGCACAAACAGATTTCTCCTATCAAATCACGGGGCTAACTGCTGGTAGCAGGTATGCAATATCCATTAAACCATGTAGGACGCCTGTGTGTGGACCAGCTGCACTGACAAGTACTGATACCAATAATGCAGGTAAGTCTGATTGTGTGCAGTCTGCTTTGGGAACACTTCAACACTTTGATGCATGGTGCGAAATGATTTTGTAGTTTCACGAGAAGAACGAGTTTCGAAGTCTGAAGGGAACCGCTGGCCTATAGCAGTAGTCCCTGTTTCAAGTACCGGTGGTGGCAATTAACATCGGTTTTGGCAACAACAAAAATTAGGCCGGGTGTAGGGACACCCGACGCTCGGCTCAGCACCATTCAAACATTTCGTTATTGCAATTTACGGTACAAACAGAGCTCTGCACAATATGCACTGGAAAGTCCTACGTTGCGATTACAAGTCAACAATCAGAATCCTTACTGGGCAGAGGGAACCTGTGCGGCCCCAATGGAGCATTTGCGGGGATCAGGTTTCACTCACTCGCCGATCACATTGCTGGCAGCTCAACAATACGCTGTAGTTGGCGAGTATCACGCTACTCATGGAATGTATGTTTGCGTAGGGTATCACATCACCCTCTTGCCATGTGAGATATCATGTTACAGGGAGGGAGGGAGAGAGAGAGAGAGAGAGAGAGAGAGAGAGAGAGAGAGAGAGAGAGAGAGAGAGAGAGAGAGAGAGAGAGAGAGAGAGAGAGAGAGAGAGAGTTTACCAGGCGGCACTATAGGAAATCGATGTGTGGTAGTCGTTGAATTTGTTGAGGTTCCAGGACGTATCCGAGATTAAGTTGCCATCATCCTTCAGGTGAGTCGACTGACTTTAGCTGTCTTAGCTGCCGTGTAGCATGTTCATAAGACCAGGAGTTTGGTTGAAAGGAATCTACTGATTCTGCCTTCTCGTTCCAGAACTGATCACCCTCATTCCGTAGTATGGAACCCATGTAATGCAGTACTTTGGAGCGTGCTTCACAGAATTGTGACCGTTTGGCGTCATCAGACTCGACATTGAGAATTGTGTCAAGTTCTTTCTGCTTCACAGATAGTTCGGATACACTTTGACTGGAGCTGTGGTGCCTTTGGCAACTTTGCCGTGTGAAAGTTTACTACCCACTCTACTCAGTGTCATTACCTTCATTGGCCTTTTATAATTTATTCTCCTTTTTAGTCGATATCATGTAATTAGGCAAATTTGCCTGTTTGTTCTTCGACTCTAAATAAACAAACAAACAAAGTGGTCTGAAACTGCGTTGTGGATGGTTGCTACAAATTTTGTCCACACAGAGTCCAGTTCCTGTCAGGATTCAATGTTAACGCGACTGCTGCATGGACGATAAGTGCTGCGAATAGTGATCATGCACCCTGGCCTGAGTAGCTCGCTTGGCTAATTGAAAGTCTGCCGACCTGGGCCACATTATGTTGCTAATACACGCACAACCCCAGTCACAGCGCACAAGTTGGTTGAGTTTGGCCGTCAGGAGGCCAGCGCAAGGTATCCGGGGCGCGGGTCTGATTCCAGCGAGGGGCAATGTGGTACCCCGCAGCGCAAGGGTAGCGTGATACCCTAAGCCAACGTGCGCGCTGCATGAGTAGCGTGATACTCGCCGAGGGCTTTTGCTGTTGCCTAGCAACGCGTTTCTGTCTTTCCTGGGCCCCAAATGCATGTTGGGTGGCCCTGCGCATGACTGCACGTTGTCATAGCAACCTTGGAAATCTCAAGCCGGTTACCAACAAGCTAGGAATCAGACCAAGCCGCCGAATGCCCCCGCCGGCCCCTGGCGCTTCATTGCAATTGAATTAATATTTTGTCCAGAATAGTGAGCTAGGACAGATCAACATACAATGTAGCTTGGAGTACCATCATGCTGAGTGGTACTCATTGTGAGACGTAGGATAGTGTAGAGCGATAATAAATACCAGGAGGCGTGGGTGGGAGGGAGAAATTGCAAAACAGTTGGATGCACGCAGCAGCACAGCTAGCAAGAGAAAGAGCCGTGGATGGGTTTGTTCCTGTTTTTGATGGCTGTGGCCATCCGTTTGCCCAACGGTCTCGTGTGAGTACGGTGTTTGTTTGTGCTGCCAGCTCGCGCCCGGCGTTTGTTTGTGCTGCCAGCTCGGGCCCGGTGCGCGAGTGAAACCGAACCGTGACGAAGGCTTTCGCTCTTTAGTGCTATTGACTGGCTTTTCATACGATGCCTATTGATGTCTAGAGACATGCTGTCTAGCCTTCCCCTGGTACGCATTCACGGGGCTCTGTTGAAGTTCGTGCCGTGAACTGCCAAAGGGAATTGTTTGAATGGTGCTGGGGCGGGTGCGACATTACGGTGTCCCTGCAGCCGGCCTAATCGCTTTTGTCGCCACAACCGATTTTGTGAACATTCCGGTAGGGAGTCTGTGAAACTTCTGAGTGGTTTGTCTGGTTGAGAGATTGTAACGGTGAAACAGAGCTCATTTGCTTCAGCTAGTCTGTAGCTTCTCATTCTCAATTATGTTCCGTACTGGCTGGCCATTTTTGCATGAGACAGCCAATCCTCAAAGCATGGGGATCAGTGACACATACTAGGTTTGAAAAGAGTGTTTGAAATGATCAGCCAGAAGTCAACCAGGCCCTCGCCTTTGCCATTGCTGGTTCTATGCTTGGAGAAGCAACCAACTGAGCTTTCAGATCCTTGAGGATGTACTATAACCGTGTCACTAGGACTACTGCAGACCCACAACCGAACTCATAGTTACGTTTCACACTGATTTAATTCCATGAGGTTATTGTTGGGACTAAGAAAAAGAACTAACTAAAAACAATGTTGGGAGAGCAAGAACCATCTCGCACCATACCGGACGCATGCGCATGGTGCATCGAACCGGAACTAAAGACTAAAGTACAGAGCACGCGAAAGTGCAGTACATGTATGCGCCTGCAAGCAGCAGTGTCAGGAATGCAGTGAATCGCACACACCGCACGGCAGCCACCGTTAGCACGTCATGCAGTCTATACAACGCAGTGGCTCATGATCATGAAGAGAAAGCGGACACCAACCGCAAGAAGCCTATAGATTAGAAGATAAGAAGCACACCGCACATGCAGTGGAACAAGGAGTCACGCACGACTCATCCCTGAACGACAACGCCATGCAAGTACTCATGTACACAGGAAAGAACACAAACAGTGCACACAGCAACGAACAGAAGCAGCTAGTACACGTACTTGTACTAGGAGACATTCACACAACACCATGAATACTAGCTAGTGTCAGTCAGGATGGTGGAGGGGGTCACCATTACACTTCAAGGAGAACCCCAAGCTTTGCTTTGAAATTGCCAAGAATCCAAATCTCATCTCTACGTTTCACAAGATTGACAATATTTCCTAATTGGGAGTAGATTAGAATAGAGATGTTAAGACACACGTTATTTCCGACGTGACGTGCAAATTCACGTCAAATTTGGTGTAAAACTCCAAATTTCCCAATTTTGACGTGAGCTGCAGGTCACTCGCATTGTTTTTCGAGGCGCGAGCGAAATAAGTTGAAATGACGCAAGCTGAACTTTCACGTCACGTCAGAAATAACGTGCATCTTAACCTCTCTATTGCCTGTTTCGCTTGGACAGTATGTTGCTCTTTGGAACGTGGGAGCGTAGCAACAGATGACAGTGACACATACCTTGATCCAGGCTTGGGTGAGGACAGCAATCTCACAGTTACGATTTGTTCAGAGTAGAATTGGCACCAAATGGTATTTTTGGACAAGTGCTTTTGACGAGGTTTCCAACGCCTGCTCAACGAGGCTCTACCTGAGCGATAGAAGACAAAGCTATTGTCCAGCAAGTCAACACTACTTCCGTTGAGCCAGGTCTCCGTGATGCTGAGAATATTCCGGTCATAAGCTTCAAGTCTTCATTTTTTGATCAAACTTCTCAAAAGATTGGGTTGGAAAAAAAGTTGGAAGTTGCTATTCTGCAGAAGGACATGCAACCCCCAACATTTTTGAAAACAGGAATGCAGTGAGTATCGGTTATAGCGTGGTGTAAAAAAATATACTGCTTACAAGAATGACCTCTCATATTTTCATAATCATAACATGGGTTTCAAGTGAACATTTATTCTTACAATGTTATCGCATAGTAGAATATATCGGTCCTCAGAATGGATTTTGTGTAGCAAAACATACCAGACTACTTTGAAGTAGTACAAAGTGTTTTTTTAGAACACGGAGGCTCCACTGCAGCCAATTCATATTATTATTTTACTCCCTGATGAAGCCCCAAGGGCGAAAACTTGGAATAAAATTTGCAGCGTCAACGACCTTTGTGCAGTGGTGGTAACTGATCATAATAGTACAAAGTGTATCGCCTGTAGTAATAACATCTGTCCAATACAGTTCTGATCCGACTCGCATTGCATCGTAGTGCTGCAGGTTCAGTTTCAACTGTTGCTGTCATGTATCTCATATACTGCATAGCCACATGGCAAATGTATGGGACTATGAACACCCGCATGCATAGCAAGGACACGTTGTATGTATGGTGGCCATCCTGTCACTGCGCACATGCATCTGATATGTCACACTTGATTTATCGTGCGTAAGAAATATCGGAAATAAGAATAGATAGCCGTTTTTCAAGCACCCACGCTATAACCGATACCTCCTATACATTGAATACATCTCTACGACCTGGGGTGCAAATCAAAAAATGAATGCATTCTACAGTCCATTCATTGGAAACTGGCACCCTAACTTTTTGGTGTCTCTCTCACATAGTTGTAGATATCGTAAAAACAACAGTACATCCTGCATTGTGTGACCCGTGCAATTACTCCTTGCCACATTTGAGGCCAGAAAAGTTCAAGAACAGGGAAATAGAAATTCAGCCAGGTTCTACAAAATTAGGACAGGTATGCCATGGCAAAATGTATGGAAAAGCAGATCCAAAACCCAGATTTTTGAGATTTAAAGTGGGTTTTTGATCCTCAATTCGGCCCAAATCCGACTTTCAAAAGCCAGCGGGCCAGTTTCCGATGAATGGACTGTAGTGATCCCACAAGTACTGTAACGACATGAGGGCGAATTTGGCTGCAAAGAAAAAGGTTTTCTCTCTGAATGTTCGAACCCCTCTGCTACCACAGACTAAGGTTTTGAGTCTCCGATATGAATATTTGATGTGCTATTGTGTGTAATTATTCTCTTGTGCTGGTTCCAACTATCACTCAGATCCAACCTCTCCGGTCCAAAACCTAGCTATCATGGCTGTAACCCACGACACCGCTACTGTAGCATGGAACAGACCTGGAATTGCAACACTGCACGGAGCTTTGACTCACTACATGGTTGTATACAATCGCACTATTCTCTCTGGGGAGACAGGGCCAAGTCATTTCACTACAAACAGTGTGCAAGTTACAGCTGGTGATCCAGCACAAACAGATTTCTCCTATCAAATCACGGGGCTAACTGCTGGTAGCAGGTATGCAATATCCATTAAACCATGTAGGACGCCTGTGTGTGGACCAGCTGCACTGACAAGTACTAATACCAATAATGCAGGTAAGCCTGATTGTGTGCAGTCTGCTTTGGGAACACTTCAACACTTTGATGCATGGTGCGAAATGATTTTTTAAGTAAATGTGGGGAGGCTTCCTCCAGTTTCATATACACTCAAGAGTAGAACCCACACGCTCTCTTCCATTAACACTGGAATAATTCAACTCATTAAATAATAACCAAACGTACTTCCTCCGTATACAAAAAACTTCGTGACTTTTTTTAAGGCTGAGCACAGCTCGTGAATTGTTCCGTTTGACTTGGAATAACACTCGTGGCATTGTCTAACCTGTTTACAAGCTATATTCAAAGAAAAAAGCAAGTCAGACGAATGAGATTGAGTTTATTCAGAGTCTTCGTCGCTCGTGTCATTGTCACCTGACGACGCTGACTCCGCATCGCCAACAGTCGCTGCTTCCGATCGCATTTCGTTCCGATTCTTTTCAGCTGCAGTGATGATCCGACGCGGGACTTTGGCTACGTCCTCTTTATTTCCAGAGCTGTGTACGAATCGGTGTCGACTCTATTCAGTCGTTCCAACCCGCGACCTACATTATGCCGTGAAACGAGTCGCTCAAGCACATCCACAAGCTTCGTATTTTCTCGGCAGGATAACCCTCCAAACATTCTACAACGGCTTCCAGGAGGTCCCTGCGATTCCCCTTGGTGACGAAGGAGACGTCTGACTGTAGAGAGGCGAAGAATGCCAGGTCGTCAACATTCCGATCCGGAGTCTGCGCTGGTTGCACGACGACTGAAATATTTCATCTTGCAGTGCGAGCGTAACCGATTTATGTTCTCACTCCGAGTATGGGGCCGCGGACCGTAACTTATTTTTTTGGCGTAAGTACGAGCCTGGCCAGCTTCAGGGCAGCAAGTGCCGGTGGACTCCGTGTTCCAGCTGCGAGCTCCACTTCGTCACGGTGTCAGTTTTGAGCAAGTGACGTGTTAGTTTTTTTCATTTGACTAGTGAGTTCCAGTTGGCAACGTTCTCACACGCATGGCTTCCGTGGAGAATCTGTTCGGGATCAACCAAACTTACCTCAACATGAATGTGGATTGTCGATGACAGCCTTTGGCGCGGTTTGTTGAGCTGGTTCTTGCTCAAAAACACCGTTGAAAAGTCACGAAGTTTTTGTATACACTTATGCCAGATAGTGTTGGGCCTGTTGCCAACGGGCTCGGCTGCTTGTTATGTTACCTTTGTTTTACTTCACCATAGGTACAGGCATTGCTGCCTTCTTGCTGTGGATCATAAATGATGCCACAGCTCCTAGGCTATGATGAAAAATATAATAGTATGATAGATTAATATGATAAGATGTCATGACCGTGAGCAGGACAATTATAAAAATACCATGCAGCAGTGTATTTTATGTGTGTTGTGGTTGTACATGTAGATAATATTGATGATGGACAGGGGACAGAACGTACTCGTGTGTCAATAGCTAATGGAGTGAAGTGAGATCAAGATCTGAAAGAGATTTTTTGAAATGAACAAGGTTTGTTAGAGAGCGGGTAGCATCAGGTAGAGAGTTCCATGTGGTGCTGCCCAGAAATTGGATAGAACATCTCCCAGCAGGATTGGGTAGGAATGGGATGCGAAGTAAATTATGCAGCTGCCCACGGGTGACTATACGATCAGCAAGTGGTATCTGAGGCTGGGCAAGTAATACAAAATAATCTTGAAAGAGAGAGCTTGCAGATCCGTGTATAGACCGGAAAACAAATACAAGCAGCTTCTGTAAAAGGACTTGGTGAAGTGATGGTATGGATAACTTAGCAAGCAAGGGAGCTGTTGCAGTGCGGCGGGGAGCCTGAAACACAGCACGAATACCAGACTTATGCAGTTTTACAAGGCAATTTAGCAGAGACCGTGAAAGCGCAGGAAAGAAGCAATTAGAGGCGTAACAGAGATGAGATAGTATCATAGACATATACCACATTCGACGTGCTTTCAGTGACAAGGCCCGGCCATGCCTCCAAAGCTGTCCAGTGGTCGCCGCCAATTTTTTCGCCAGAAACTCGATGTGGGGTGCCCAAGTTAGCTGGTCATCAATCAACACACCGAGGTATTTTGCCACGTGTGTGACTTGCAGAACACTGTTGTTGCAGGTGACGAGTGACGGAGCAGCGTCAAACAAACCTCTGGGACGAATAAACATCACTTGAGTCTTAGCTGAGTTCAATAGCAAACCTTTGTCCTCAAGCCAGGACGAAAGATTGGTGACTGCTGTCGTGAGCACAGCACAAACAACAGCAGGGTCACGGTCGGAGTAATCAACAACGATATCATCTGCAAACTCTTGATTGCAAACTTCATGTGGAAGCACAGACGCTATATCACTTATGTAGAGAACAAATAAGAGAGGTCCAAGTACACTTCCTTGAGGAACACCTCTGGAGCATGGAATTGGCGTTGAAATCTGGTCTTTGATTTTGACACACTGTTGACGTTCGGACAGGTATGAACAAAACCACTGCAGCACCACACCACCAAGCCCAAACTCAAAGAGGATTTGAATAAGCTGGCGATGGTCAACTCTATCAAATGCTTTGGACATGTCAACCATGACGATGCCCGTGTGCTTGCGTTCAGATTTAGCTAATAACCAACGGTTGGTGGCAAGGATCAGGGCATCCTCGGTAGAATGACCCTTACGGTATGCAAACTGAGATGGGGGGAGTAGACAATGACGACTCAAGAAGTTTGTCATCTGTTGCTTAACAAAATACTCCAATATACGTGAGACGATAGGTAACAATGAAACAGGTCTATAATTCTTTGCTGATGTCGCATCGCCTCCCTTGAAGAGTGGGCTCACATGTGATCTCTTGAAGGAAACTGGCACCTTTCCACCGGATAGGGATCTGTTTATAATACGAGTTACATACGGACCTAGGGTGACTGAGCAGCGGCTAAGTACTATACCAGGAACACCATCGCTTCCAGTAGCTTTCGTGGGGTTGATGCACTGTAAGCACTTGGAAACATCAGGAATCTGAACTGCAGTGAAAGATGTCAGTCCCACTGAGCCAGTTGGACCAGCTGGCATTGGCAATGTGGCTGGTCGATGGGGATCATGGACAATGGCTCCAAATGCATCATTTAGCTCTGTGACAGTTACTTGTGGTGCGTGCCGACTCTTCGTTCTGCCTGTTACGGTGTTCATGACTGCCCAAAGCTTCTTCTGATCTGCTTTAGCACATTGCTCTATGAAATAGAGATTTTTCAGCCGCCGGTCAAGGCGCCTGGCTTTGGCTCTTGCTTCTCGGTGAGCAGCACGTAGTATATCATCTGCACGATTTCGCCGAAGGCGACGGTGAAGCCGGTTTCGCTCTCGAACACATGCGACAAGTTCATCTGTGAGCCAAGGGCAAGGACGACGTTCCTTACGATGGCGCAAAGTGATCGGAGCATGCTTATTGAGAGTAGTAACAATGGCATATGTGACAGAGCATGCCATACTATCGATTGAATCCTCGTTAAATGATGAATTCAGTGTAGAGGCTAGGTCCACTTGAAAAGTATTCCAATCGACACGATGAAGGCGACGGCTCTTTGTCATCGTTTCACCCTGGCGTCTTGGGCTAGATTTGCAAGGAAGACGAGCTAAGACAGCATAATGGTCGCTGATATCCAGGTACACAATTTCACAAGGACCTTGAATGGGGGTGGTGGACAGGAATAGGTCTATGGTAGATTGTGAGTGACTCGTGACTCTGGTAGGAGCGTTCACGTAATTCTGTAAGCCAAAACGGGCGAGGATGCGATGTACGGGGTGTGCAGAACCAGTTTGCGTGTTGCCAAAGTCAACATTCAGATCACCAATAAGCACAGTAGATGATTGACGACCTTGGCAAGCACACTCAATGTTCTCCTCGAAATCTTCCCAGTATGCAGCACGCATGTTGGGTGGTCGGTATGCGCATCCAACGAGTATGCTCTGCTCGCCAGTGCCAAGCTCAAGCCATAGTAGTTCTAAGGTCTCACATTCCAAGTCCAATCTGCGACGTATTGCTAGCGACTTATGAAAGTAGACACACACACCTCCCCCATGCAATCGGCGGTCTTTACGAAACAATGTATAGTTAGGAATTGAAATCTCGCCATCAGTTACTGAAGGTTTAAGCCAGGTCTCTGCAATTCCAAACAGATGTATGCCCCTTGAGGACATGAACTCCTTGACTTCAGCTACTTTAGTGCGCAAACTACACACGTTCAGAAACGCAATTGCTGCTGACAGATCCATGGGTGACGATTCAGTCCATAGCCTGTCCATCTCCAACAGACTCGTTGGCGACGGAATTGGAGCGATCATTGGATTCATGTTGGGGCTTCTTGGTGTCCTCAAACTTCCACTGCCTGGCGTACACTGGCTTGGGCCAGAATCGTCGGTGTTGAACAAAACCGCTGGTGCTAGAGTTTATAACAATCCGTGCAGATGACGAGTCTGCCTTCGAAAACACTTTGGAACTGTAGACACGAACAGAAACACCAGCACTATCCGCTCTGCTCACAACGAAGTTTTCCAGCTGCTCCACTGACATATCCTTCTTCAAATCTCCTATGAACAAGACACTCTTTCTCTCTGTTGGTTTTTTCGATGTGACGACCTTCCACTGTGCACCATTGCAATCACTATCTTCGGACAAATCTTCAAACTTTTGAAGACGGGAAAGCGCATCACTTGCATCGCCAGCCGTGACCTGACCATGCTGGGTGTCGTGGGAATCACTATTTGAATCCGTTTGAAAGTCGCCGATTGAACCAAGCGGGGTCTCAACCGACGCCAACGTACTAGAGGTCGTACGGTCTTTTCTGTTGTTGCTTCCACTCTGCTGTGCTGCTGTGTGCTTACGTTTCTTCTTCTCGCCTGCACTGGCAATGGCGGCCGAGCTAGTTGATGTTGACTCAACCGAATGCAAAGTAGCATTGGTGATCATCAGCGTCAAAGATTGTACTTGTTGAGTCAACAGGTCTATGCGAACCTTAAGCCTCTTCTCCCTGTCTTCCGCTGCGCTTCGCTCGGCTTGGAACAATTCTACGAGCTGGGCAAGAGAAGTTTGAGAGCTGGACTCCGGCATTGCGCCAACAGTTGGATCAGGATCGCCAAATTGGTCCTGGACATCTACGCTTATCAATCCTGAGCTCATTATTGTAAAGTCTAGCCACAATGGGCTCACCTTACCAAAAATACACCACTGAAAACCAGAGCAAAAAAACTCTCTACTGCACTCCAGGGTGATTTTCGAAGACGCTTGCTTGAAGGTGTATTGTACCTACCACCTTTGTTGGTTTCAGGGTTCATATACTTTCTATTTGAAGTATACATACCTGTTAGCCATGGACTGCTTCTGGCTAGATTAACTCTTGTGTAATCAATGGTGCTAGTGAAGCTTATAGCAGATCCACTCTGATTTAGCCACCCACACTAGTACCAAGTATTACCTTCACTGGGGGCAGGGGTACCTGCAGTTGGATCCCGGGACGGATACCCTGATGCCGTCAATCCTTTTTCTGCACCTTGTCCTCACCCACTTACTGAGGTGTGGTGAGCCCATAAGTGGGATCATTTCAAGTCCACCCTAGTTTGGGGATTTCAGGAGGTGTCGGCCGCTGGGTGGTTCAATGGCCAATTGAGTCATCTTTCCAAGATGCCTTTTGAATCTCTCTCCCCTCTCCCGGGGAGACCCACGTGACCAGTTTTGGCAATGAGCAAGTACAAGTAAGTACAAGTGTGTGTGTGTGTGTGTGTGTGTGTGTGTGTGTGTGTGTGTGTGTGTGTGTGTGTGTGTGTGTGTGTGTGTGTGTGTGTGTGTGAGAGAGAGAGAGAGAGAGAGAGAGAGAGAGGCCTGCTCTGCGCAGGAACTGTGACCTGGAGCACACAGAGTGTGAAGGAGAGACGGTCGGCCTGCCATGGGCAGGAGCTGCGACCAGTAGTTATTGAAATGAGCCAGCTGCGGAGATAGACTACCCTCACCCGATATAAGTATGTTGACAAGAGTGTTGACAAGTATATTGACTATTGAATATTGACAAGAGTTGTACTGACACTGTGATTGAGGAAATTATGGTGATAGTGACGGAGAGATAGTAATCCCCAGCCGAATGGGGTTGAGAGGGAAGGGAAAATTGACAACTGACGGACAAACCAGTGAACAGTCAAGTCGTCGGAAAACAGAAATGACAAAGGAGTTTTTTGCAAAGCAAGATTTGGACAGCACGCGTGGGAGAGTGGTGCGCATAGGATGCGCATACATGTACATAGCAATGACATCATCGTCAGAGGATGCATGATCATCAGACTAGGTATGAGTGGTAGATGTTCCATGTTCGTTAACAGGGCTTAGCGCACAATTAGCCGTTCTACAGTAGGTCGTCAAGAACTCATTAGTTCTGCTCCTTGTTTGTCCATTGTTTGCCTACTGTTGTCGTAATACGTTCAGTCGTTCACCCTTGTGAGGTGTTGTCTTCCTTCTTTATAGACATGCATGGGTTTTATACATTTTACCATTGTGGATGGTCAATGCTCGCAAATGTTTGGTGTAGATTGAAAGGGGTTGGCAGGAAAGAGACCGTGTAAATATGTAGTGTGACTGTTGAGATTGAGTGTTGGAATCTTTGTTTTTGTGTTTTCATCTTTTCCTTTTTTTCTGCATACCACAGTACCCACAGGGATGGTGCAGAACGTAGCCACTTCAAGTGACAGTAATAGTATCCGTTTGACATGGAACAGGCCCCCCTTAGCAACACTCAATGGAAAACTGTCTCACTACAATATAGTGTACAATCGCACGCTGTTGTCTGGAGTAGCATTCAATTTGACCACAGCAACTGTGACTACATCGGCGGGCAGCGAAACGGACACAGCGTTCTCCCACGACATCACTGGGCTATCTGCTGGTAGCAAGTTTGTTGTGTCTGTGGAACCATGCCGAGGGTCACCATCAGCTTCCAATTTATGTGGACCAGCATCTGTTCATACAATTGATACTGCCAATGAACGTTAGTTGTAGGCTTGAAGAAACTTGGTGCATTTTCATATTGCTACTTCTTCTGGCTTTATTTTCTTTCAAGAGAATAGGAATCGGAGAGCATTCAGTCGCATTTGGTTTGCAGTTTGTCAGGGCTCAAGTTCTGTTGGTGCCAGAGAATGAATAGGCAAGGATTTTTCCGACGTATATTATTCCTGTGCGCACATGGTAGCTCAACTTCACACAGACTGCCACACATTAAAAGTAGGATGACGGTCAGGCCACGACGCTTCTTCTGGTACAGTACTGACAGTTCTGAACAGGTTGTTATGCAGAAATTCAGGCTAGCCATTCTTGTCAACGCTCCCATTCTCATATGCATAATTTTCTGGAGCATGAAGCAGAGCTCGTCATGGTTACACGAGCTGTTGCGATTGCATGTTGGAGAAATGTATATATAGAATGACCGTCAGAAGCACAGCATCATGCAACAGCAGCAGCAGCAGCAGCAGCAGCAGCAGCAGCAGTAGACACAAATACACACACATACATACATACATACATACATACATACACACACACACATACACTCTCACACACACACACGCACGCACGCACGCACACACACACACACACACAAGCACACACACACACACACACACGTATATTGTGAGTCGGCCACCCAAAGAACATGACCTGAAGCTACTGAACACAACATGTGCCATGCTCGAGTGTGAGCATGGAGCACCAAATCAGGCTCTTAGCGTCTCATCTGGTATTCCGGTGCAGTTGGTGGGCATGTACAATCGTACATCACTCGGTGTAGTAGCCAAATGTACGACCAACAGTACTGTTGACGGCATTGCGCACGGTGTTTTCTCTTATAGAATTGTCCCATATCGGCAGCAAATATATCAATTCCTATCTCCCACCTAAAGTGGTTTCAGAACGAGGAGAAGCACCGAGGACGTAATCTGGTCCTACCATTGGGCTATATCCCGATGCCAACTCCGAAGCTAATCGAAGGTGTTGCCTTGTTTCTTGACAAAGACGACGTTGCACTAATTCCACATCTTCTCCAGCACACCACCTTCCAGGTTCAATACTTGGGAACAGATGACATTCAGTTCACAAGCAACAGAGGCACCCCACAGGGAACTCATTGTCTGCGATGCTATTCATAGTGTACCTAGAAGCAGCCCTGAGAGACGTGCAAAAAATCTCACTGATTCGCCCCCAACTCGACATCGACTTGCACCTTCCCACAGACATAATCGTATGCTGGTGATGTTGACTTTCTGCCATCCAAGGGAACTGACATCCAATGGAGACTTTGCAATGGGATTTAAACTCCAGCAAGACAGAATCATTCCTCTGGACTCCGAGTCTTGAGAGGCCCGGTGACTGCATTGCAGAGGAATGGAGGCTGACCTGGAAACTGTTATCACTACTGGGGGTCAGGGAGAATATATCTAGTTTGTGTACACGCATGGACTGCAGCGCTAGGTTACAAGGCTAAATTATCCATACAACCAGGCCTTTGTCCTACTCTTGACCTCCATGTTTTACTATATGCACCAGTTCAAATCCAATGACGTCAGTGCTGTACTATTTGCTCACAGCTGTTTTCCAGTGTTGAAGTCACCTGTACTATTTGCCCATAGCTGTATTTCCAGTATGATGATCCTGTGAATGCAACAATGAGCTGAAGCTTTTCCGGTCTTTCTTCTTCTTGCCTTATTATTCCAACTGCAGGACCGGCAGCCTCCGTCCAAAGGCTGTCCTCCAGTGTCTTGGCTCAAGCGGTCACATTGTCATGGACTAGACCAGACCTTAAGACGCTACACGGAGCATTGAGCTACTACAATATTGTGTACAACCGCACACTGCTGGCTGGCGTGTCACATCTCATTACAACAGATAGAATGAGAGTTGATTCAATTTCTCCAGATCAAACCGATTTCTCCAAAACAATTAGGATGCTGTCCGCTGGTAGCCAGTATGAGATGTCAGTTGAGCCATGTAGAGATCCGGATCTATGTGGACCTCCTGCCACAGTGACAGTTGATACTGAGGAAAAAGGTGAGCGAGAATATAAGTCTTTTGTATGTGTATGCCAAATTGGAAAATTGGAAACTATGTAGAAGTGTAAAAATGTAAAAAGGAAAGGGACGTATGGATAAAAGTTAAGAGTAACTGTTAAGAGTAAATGTACTTCCTCCGCGTCATCGAAATTGTTGCAGTTTGACTTTTGACATAAAACGGGGTATTTACTCACCAGCACTCGTACCAGAGGCAAGGCAAGGGCAAGGAATCGGACATAGGCGATAGTCATCAATATAGGGTGACGGTAAAGTTCTATTTTCTGTTATTGGAAGCTGAAATTTTTGAACTAGACGCAATTTCTTCACTGATGTCGCTGCGATGGTAATTTCGACTCGCTGAGATCAGTCAGGCGTTGCAGCCTGCACATTTCTCGTGCTTATGGCCATTCACTCAAGCCTCATCACTGTTTTACCTTAGCTGGGGTGGGAATGACTTCGTGGAGCAAGTAGCAGCGCTTGGAGAAACATCGAGGTGTCAGCAAACTAAATGCATGCAACAGCGATAAAATTTGTCGCTCTGGCTGAGACTCTCAGTACATGATTGTACCTGCAAGAGCAGTGTAGCCTCTTCACGAAGTGCTAGTGATGCACGCGCAGGTGCCGTACCAGTGATGCTGAAAAAGAGGGCGCGCTGGATGATAGTACACTTACCTACATCAGTACATGAGCTGTGACCAACAGCTAAAATAAATGGGCATGCCACGGCTAAAAAAAGTTCATTTCAAGATCGAGGTGATTCCGCCGACGGTAATCAACCGACCTCGCAACGATCGTGTATTCTTACTGGGCTTCGTTGGTGGTGAAGTAGAAATCATACCAGAGCTAGCAGACTACAAGCATAGCAGCTCTTGTCCTGTGGAGAAAGTCAAAGCGTTTGAGATGAGGCGCGACCAACTTTCAACCTTCCTTGAAATATTTCGGAACGATATTTTTGCGTCCATTGACATCAGCGACGACGAGGACTCTGCATGAAAACTCTCAGTCCAACTGTCCTGGAACGTTACTCTAGTCTTCAGACTATCATACTGTGTGATAAGTTTTGTATGGTTTAGCTTATGGAGTTGTCAGTAACAAGTGGCAAGTCACTAGTCAAACTGCGACAATTTCGATGACGCGGAGGAAGTAGAAATGGAGTTGACTTTGCCCAGCGCCATGTCTTGCGAGAAGAAGCAAGCCACTGGTTTATGCGCTCACAATCTCACAAGCTCCTGTCACTCACAGAGTCTAGTCAATGTATTAGTTACTGTTTAGCCAACCTTGGCCATCCTCATAAGAAGAAAAAGAAGCTGTAACAGCAGTATGCTGTGTTCACAGCTTGGCTTATGCTGAATGGCTTGGGTGAACAGTGAGAGAGAGAGACAGACAGACAGACAGAGACAGACAGACAGAGAGAGAGACAGACAGGCAGACAGACAGACAGACAGACAGACAGACAGACAGACAGACAGACAGACAGACAGACAGACAGACAGACAGACAGACAGACAGACACACAGACAGACAGACAGACAGACACAGAGAGAGAGACAGACAGAGAGAGAGAGAGACAGACAGACAGACAGACAGACAGACAGACAGACAGACAGACAGACAGACAGACAGACAGACAGACACAGAGAGACAGAGAGAGAGCACCAGCAGCAGCAGCAAGGCAACCAACATCTAATATGTCAAAGTAACATTTTAAAGAGAACCAACCTACAGGTGCATGACTGCACTAGAAAGGGGAAGACAGGATGTCTAGAACCATCGTACATATTCTACAAAACTGGTACACAAGAGATCAGTCAATACATGGAAACATAAAATACTCAGTTTACTGGTTCTGATAGATAGGAGTGAACAGCACTACAGCAGCATTACAACATTACCATTACAGAGGTTCTGGGTACGATTTTCCGTGCCAAAATCCGTATGAGCACTACGGATTTTTCGAGGCGTGCTCCACACGATTTTTCGGCACGCCCATTATCTGTGTGGACTGGCTTTCATACGAACCATGTTTCGTCTGGAGATTTTGCGTCATCGGGTGCAGAAAGATTTTTCGCGTACAAATTTGGTACGAGAAACATCAATTTTCCGCGGGAAGTTTTGATTTCGGTACAAATTTTCAAAATAAAAAGGAATAGCGCGGGAATGTGACGTATTTGTGATCGTATTAAACCTAGGCAATGACGGCAAACACATAAGTTCCGTACTTCGGAACATTTCACTGCTCGAAAACGACGTATAAAAAATTCGTAGCGCCTCTACGGATTTTGGCACAAAGAATCGTACTCCGGAACCTCTCTATTACCACTTTAATACCTGTACATAAATATATTGTCACATGGGTAGTGAACGAAGTTGGTTGCTCCTGCATGGTGCTTCCTGCCGAAACTTGACACTTGACTGACTCACGACTGCAATCCAAACACGCGAGGAGCCCTTCGCACCTTCCACTCGGCAAACCTGCAAGAAAGCACCACTCCCTGCTCAATACACAGTATCTCGGGGAATGCACCCTCATCAGTTGAGCTTGAGTAGGCCAAGGAATATTGTGCCTGAAGAGCACCAGTTATATAATGCTCTCCAGGCCGAACCATCACCAGGGATACAAACTTACAGAGACGTTCGGTTTCCAGCGCGATAAACACCTTCTGAGACCCCAGGTAGCAGCGTGAGTCAGAGTCGCTCGTGAAGTGGTGCTAAACAGACGCTGAGAGCCAGTAGCTATTCACAACGTTGTCACCTCCAACAACTAGTCGCACGTCCACGCGAGGCACAACAAATAATACAAAGTATCGCCGAAGTTGCTACTTCTAAGTTTGTAGTGAACGAGTGCAATAAAAGCCATGAACAGACTTTCCAGATATTTTGGAAATAACTGTACTACTTACTGAAACTGACATAGTCGTTGACGGAACATGATTGTGAGGTGAACACGCACGGAATCTTGTACATAGTCATGGTGCCAGTGCTTTGGAGTAAGCAGCAGGTACTGTATGTCAGTCATCAAACCAGCTTCAGCTCTGCGCTCGCTTCAGCAGGATATTTCCCGCGTTTGCTTTCCTTCCACACGGACTGACGACCAGCACAGAGTCTCGCAGCCCCGTGGCCGTGAGGTCTTGATATACATGTATATTGGCCATTAATGCCGCAAGTCTCAGCCCTCCCTTCACAACAAGCCAGTCAATGAGAAAAAATGTCCATTTATATTAAGTTAACCCAACTGCTGCATGGACGATAAGTGCTGCTAATAGTGATCATGCACCCTGGCCTGAGTAGCTCACTTGGCTAATTGAAAGTCAGCCCACCTGGGCCACGTTATGTTGCTAGTACATGTACCACCCCAGTCACAGAGCACAAGTTGGTTGAGTTTGGCCGTCAGGAGGCCAGCGCAAGGTATCTGGGGCGTGGGTCTGATTCCAGCGAGGGGAAATGTGGTACCCCGCAGCACAAGGGTAGCGTGATACCCTGCGCCAACGTGCGCGCTGCATGAGTAGCGTGATACTCGCCTAGCGCTTTTGCTGTTGCCTAGCGACACATTTCTGTCTTTCCTGGGCCCCCAAATGCATGTTGGGTGGCCCTGCGCATGACTACACGTTGTCATAGCAACCTTGAAAATCTCAAGCCGGTTACCAACAAGCTACTCGAAGTAGGAATCAGACCAAGCCGCCGAATGCCCCCGCCGGCCACCGGCGCTTCATTGCAATTGACTTTTGTCAAGAATAGTGAGCAAGGACAGATCAAATTATGCAAATACATGTTCGTGTAGCTTGGAGTACCATCATGCTGAGGGGCACTCATTGTGAGACATAGGAGAGTGTAGAGCGATAATAAATTTCAGGAGGCGTGGGTGGGAGGGAGAAATTGCAAAACAGTTAGATGCGCGCAGCAGCACAGCTAGCAAGAGAAAGAAGCCGTGAATGGGTTTGTTCCTATTTTTGATGGCTGTGGCCGTCCGTTCACCCAACGGTATTCGTGCGTACGGCGTTTGTTTGTGCTGCCAGCTCGCGCCCGGCTTTTGTTTGTGCTGCCAGCTCGCGCCCGGCTTTTGTTTGTGCTGCCAGCTCAGGCCCGGTGCGCGAGTGAAACCGAACTTTGAAAAGGCTTTCGCTCTTTTATTAATAGTGCTATTGACCGGCTTTTCATACAATGCCTATTGATGTCTGGAGACATGCTGTCTAGCCTTTCCCTGGTACGCATTACGCAGGGCTTTGTTGATTCTTGAAGTTCGTACCGTGAACTGCCAAAGGGAAACGTTTGAATGGTGCTGGGCCGGGTGCGACATTACGGTGTCCCTGCAGCCGGCCTAATCTCGTTTGTCGCCACAACCGATTTTTTAAAACATTGTTATGACTAAAAATTGGCTTGTGAGCAACACTGGCTCACACTCAATCACTGCTTTTCACAAATTCATTTCAATTTCTGAAATGAATTGAAAAGCAGTGATTGAGTGTGAGCCAGTGTTGCTCACAAGCCAATTTTACTTATGAAGCTGCGTGATGCATCCTACAAGATTTTAAATTGTTATGACTGCACAATTTGTTTTCGTTGCGTGTTAAATGTAAATGTTCGTTAAAAACGAGAGAGCTTGGAAGCTCAGGGCCCTACGCTATGCTTTTTTGCCCTGATGACCTAGACAAAAAAATCATAGAGATGTTATAAATTCTTATAAATTTCTCTCTTTTTTTTAAGGCATAACCTGGGATTCGAACCCGCACTATCGCCCTACATGCATTCCCCCATACACTTCGCATTCATACTCATTCTTCCAAGTTGCTTCACGTTATGATCTTGCGTTTGAAAGCCCTATTTGAATATTGCGGGCAGCTGTATATATGTGGCCAGCTGTGTTTGATGGTACGGTACGGTACGGGACAGCTACGGGATAGCGCCAGGCGTGACACAAACACACAAACAAACACACAAATACCAAATTAAAGCTGTGTGGACCCTGGCTAGCGCCAGACGTTACTGAAGTAACGTCTTCTGCATAGCTACGGGAATAAAGTTGTCTCACAGCAGTATGTACTTTTGAAGTATGAATTGTGCGAATGGAAATGGTAATGGATGCATTTTGCATGAGGGTGAGTGACATTACACTTTTCTTCCTGCTTCCGTAGAACCATACATAACTCAACACAGTCATTGTGATGTACACACATAGAAGAGCAAAAAACATTCCGGGGCTAGCTACTGCTCAGAGTTCCATGCATGTTAGCCATTTTCAGGCAGTAGTAATGTGATTTATGTTGTTCATCTCGGTGAAAGATGTTCTGAGAAGAACAGTTCAAAACTTTTGTTGCACACTTCATCTACAGTACCTCAACTCAAACACGCTAACACCTGATATGGTTTACCGGGTGTTAGCGGCTGTCGTGAGTTCCCTTTGGGAACGGACACAATAATTTACTTTTTTACTTTTTACTCAAACACTCAAAACACAGTCTCTTTGCAGCAAACGTCGGCCTGGCCCATCATCCAGAGTTATGAATAAATCTGCTCGTCAACGGTGTGACTTGCACACATACAGCGGGGCAATGCTCTGCTTCTGCCTGCAGACGTTAGGCTGCTGGGTGTGATTATACCCAGATTCTGGCACCTTCAAAAATGTTCAAATGGTGATCAGAACGACAACGTGATACAATAGAAAAGCAATTATCAAAATAGACATTCACACATTTGGGATTTGGTGACAAATTTTAGTAGGTCATCTTCTGCTACTATGGGCTGCTACTTTCACTCTCTCTAATCATCCACCAGAAATAGTCATTGATGATTTCTTAAGAAAAAAAGCTTCTGTCAAAACAAATCGGTGTCCGTTGGTTGTGGATTGGTTGTGTTTGCTCAGTACACAGTGTTTCGGAGAATTCACCCCTCATCAGTTGAGCTCGAGTAGGTTACTGAAATTTGTGCTCCGAGAGTGCTGCCTAAAAGGGAGTTTAGCTTTCTTGCAGGTGCTGCAGTTTGGACAGTTGTGCATTCTTCTCGCGTGCTCCAGACATCGGCAGTCATGAGTCAGCCAAGTGTCCACCAGTCAACAAGCACAAGCTATAATGTTTGGAGCGGCCACCTCCTTCGTTATGTCGATAAATTAGGAGTGAAATGACTGAGTCGATAAATCGACTGGCCAGTCGATAAGGTCGAGTCGATAGAGGGATAACCATTATCAACTCGCACATTCTGTTAAGCAGATACATGCTTGAAAGTGCCCAGAGACACATGACATTGTAATTCATGCACTACTGCCAGTTCAGGCCATGCGTTATGGACCACACTTGACACATGAATCCATTTCGCTTTCACGCACGGCCCGTGCAAGAACGGTACAAAACACATACAGCATTAGCCCTTTTGAACGTTGAACCCTACAATTCTGTGTTACTCTTGCTTGTACACGGGTGTGTGAACATGAATGTGCATGTAGGTATGTGTAAACATGCTGTGTTTGTGTTCATACATGAGGGCAATGTCAGTCAATAAGCAGTCAATTATTTAGTCGACAGAATTGAATCTAGTTGATAAGGTATTTGGGTCCGTTGTTTCGCCCCTGCAGTAAATACAGTCACCGATCAGTTGCTCCAGGGTTCCACATTACTTTGTACATGGATGAGCGCTTACCCGTGATGGTTGTTTATTAGCGCGTTAGTACAGTGGTCCCTCTATAATCCGGCACCATTTGTGCCACGAAAATCTGCTGGATTAGGGAGGGTGCTGGATTAACAAATCTGATTTACTGCTGCAATGTGCATGAAGAGGACATTTTGGCTACTGAAAATTGTGCTGGTTTATCGAGGGTGCTGGATTATAAAGTGCCGGATTAGAGAGGGACGACTGTACTACAAGTATTTATATGCAGATCTACATGTATTTACTTCGAAGTACGTGCATAAGTCCTGACTGGGCCGGCTATGTTGCCATCCTTCTTTTGTGCTTTTTCTTCTTGGAATGCAGCACCCGAGGGCAGTGTACAGAACATGGCACTAACTCTACAGAGTGGCACCAGTTTGATTATAAGCTGGGAAAAACCACCAGCAAATACTTTGCACGGATCGTTGACTCGCTTCCAGATTGGTGTCACGCACAGTATCCTGTCTGGAGTTCATCAAGTGCTGCACAATAGTTTACAGGAAGCAGTAACTGATCAAACAATTACGCAGTATTCAAAGCGGCTCGAAGGGCGGGCATATGGCAGCCAGTATACTCTGTCAATTAGCGCCTGTAGACTTTCATTGTGTGGACCTCATGTGCAGATGTCAATCAACACCAGTGTTGGAGGTAAGTACAAGAATCAGTCCATGCACAGTGGTTACAAGTCTAATGTCATTTTGTGAAAGCCCAGACTTGCTTCTTCCATGCATGTAATTGTTGCTTTCCCCTCTCTCTGTCTGTCTGTCTGTCTGTCTGTCTGTTTCTCTCTGTCTGTCTGTCTGTCAGTCTGTCTGTCTGTCTCTCTTTCTCTCTCTCTCTCTCTCTCTCTCTCTCTCTCTCTCTCTCCCTCCCTCTCTCCCTCTCTCTCTCTCTCTCTCTCTCTCCCTCTCTCTCTCTCTCTCTCTCTCTCTCTCTCTCTCTCTCTCTCTCTCTCTCTCTCTCTCTCTCTCTCTCTCTCTCTCTCTCTCTCTCTCTCTCTCTCCCTCTCTCTCTCTATCTATCTATCTATCTCTATCTATCTACTCAATCTGCGGACAGAACTGTTTAGTCCTTTGTGGACTCATCAGCGCAGCACAGAGAAAATGAGGTCGAACCTGATACCAATGAAAAAATAAATTTTCCAAAGCCAGATTTAAACCAGGCCCGAACGTACCTTGCCAGAGTGCTCAGACTGACAAGTCAGTGAGCTCTGCATAACGCAAACAGCAAAGGCACTACCCCACATGAGAGTGCTCAACTGCTACAAGAGCAGGGTATCTATCTATCTATCCTTTAACATCGGTGGCAATGTTCTGCGGTGGCTCGAAAGCTACCTATCCTGCCGGGTCCAACAGGTCAGGGTGTCAGGTTCGCTGTCACAACCGCTCGAAGTATGTTCCGGTGTGCCACAGGGCTCAATACTTGGTCCTCTTCTCTTCTTGCTCTATGTAAATGACTTAACTCGTGTTCCAAGTACCTCCCTGTACGCCGATGATAGTACTCTTGTGGCATCTGAACTTTCCCTGCCCATGGCGTGTAATTCCTTGCAGTCGGAAATTCGCTCAGTGGTTGAATGGATGCGTCTCTGGAAACTTCAACCTAATGCTGGAAAGACTGTCATATTGTGCATTCCACTTCTCATCCGCGTTCTGATCTTTCCTACATCGACCAGTACCTACAGTAAAACCTGTGACTACCGACCACCCCTTGGTGCCAGCAAAAGCGGTCTTTAGTAGCAGGCGGTCTTTAGTTAGAGGTTTGCACCGCGCGACCATATATGGGTCTCATCATATGATATGTATGTCAACATGCAGCTAATACAATTCCCAAGGACTTGCACAATGCCATTCTTATTTCAGGTCAAACAACACTTGGAGAGAAAGACGGAGAGATGGAGAGAGACAGAGAGAAGATTTTTTGCAGACATGAAATTCAGCTGCTACTTCTGAAGCCAGGAGTCCAACGTTCCCTGTGGAAGCTTCGTTTTGCGCTGGGCTTCAAATTATTTGTTCATGCCGCGGGTCAGTCGTACCGACTGTCCTTGTTGTGACTTCTCGATTGCTTGGACGCGATCCTTCAGCATCAGGACCTTGAGGTGCTGCTTTGTTTCTGAATTCCTTGATGCCATCGTCGATTCGTCTGTATGACTGGGGTGACAGAGCCGCTCAGTCTTCGTTTCTCCTCGAGTCACGAGTAACATCGATCAGAGAGCGCTTTCGATGCGCTCTCCAAGACGTTTCCGATCATGTTTATTCTTCTTGACAGCGCTTGAAATTTAGACAGGTGTAGTGCAGTCCACACCGACTCCACAGTCAAAATGACCTGCGTTCATTTGTTCAACTGTAGTATCGAAAGATTCCTTTCAGGACCATGGAAAATCAGCAAAATTTCAAGAAGGAGCTTCAAGCAACATTTTGATTGCCTACATCGCGGTCGCTAGTTACGGGTCAAAAATCGTCTTTGGGACAAGAAAAGGCGGTCGCTGGTCGCGTTCAGCAGGTAGTCGCTAGTCACAGTGCATTTTGAATGTGGGACCGTCCGTGCCTGGCGAAGTGGTCGCTAGTACCAGGCTGGTCGCTAGTCACGGTGGTCTTTAGTTACAGGTTTTACTGTATTCCACTTCCCTGACGACCGGACGCCCATCCCAATTGTTAGCCACCACAAACACCTTGGAGTCATCTTTGACTCAGGCATGAGTTGGTCCCACCATCTGGAGTATCTCGAGCGCCAGAAAAGTTCGGCTGTTGGTGTTTTTTACGGTCACATGAGCCATTTACCACTAGCATGTCGTCGGGCCTTCTATGCCTCCTATATCTTACCCATAATTTTATACTGTGGCATTGTGTGGTGCAGTGCTGGAGCAGGAATGCTTACGTGGCTTGAACTAATGCATCGCAGGATTTTGAGAGCGACATTTCGCTTCCCACTTGATACCCCATTAACAATGCTGTACTCCCAATGCAAAACCTGTCCTTTACAAACCATAATTAGCAGACTCTGCTGTAGATTTATCCATCAGATTAAACTGCTGAAGGCCCCAATGCATATTCAAAATGCGCTTAACTGGTTTAACTCCTCTTCGTCAAGTCGTAATAAACTAAGATTCCCTATTTCAAGAAATAGCTCAATGAGTCGCTCGCCTGTTTTCATTCATTGTGGCCCGGCACAAGTGCACAGCAGTCCGACAGCTCCCCGTACCACAGCAGCCTGGGTCGGTGCAGTGTCCTGCCTGCAGTAGATGGCTCCGGAGCAGGGGTGGGCTTGCAGTGCATAAGTGCCAAGAGAGTGACAACTGTAACGACCGACCGCCTAATGATGCTCCTCCTGTTGCCGAGGTCCTGGTGTGTACTGCCTGCCAGCGTACTTTCAAGTCTACTGCTGGCCTCAAGCGCCATCGCTGTGGACACCGCCCGAAGTGCCCTACAGTGACTGATCACCAGCACTTTGAACATCATTGCCGAGTCTGTAATCAACGCCAGTTTCGGAGGCGCCAGGACCTGGAGCGCCATTTGAAGCACTGCCTACCTCTCCCCTAACCTCTCTGACAGCACCTCCCTTTGGGGAGCGGCGTGGCCATTTCTGGCGGCTGTCAATAGTAGTAGTAGTAGAGCGTGTGTGTGTGTGTGTGTGTGTGTGTGTGTTTTGTGTGCGTGTGTGTGTGTTATCGAGGTGGCAGTGCCATTGTGGCCGCTTGCAAGTTTTCAGCGTGTGCACTGCCACCTTCATGAGGGAAATGCCTAATACAATACAGGGTGCTCTTACTGGCCACTGCTCTGCATTTCCCAGGGAAGCAGTTTCACATGTGCGCTAAGTATGTCCCGGGAACATGTGAGCAAAGCTGACAACGAGGGCAGAGCAAGGGCAGAAGAAGGTTTTGCTTGCAACTCGAGATTCACACTGTGTGATCCTCAGGCAAACGCATTCTAGCAAAACTGGCATGCCTGCTGTTCCAATAGCTAACGTTATGCTGCAATGATTGTACAGTGCATTATATCTGTCTATGTTGGCCATGTCTGTGTGCTTGTGTACATCAGTAGATAGCCGAACCACGCCATGCGAGCAAGACTTGATACGATGAAGAGTACTGTAGTGTCTTGTATAATAGCATGTCTCATGATATAGAAGCCTGTTTTGAATACAAGCCTGATTTTAGAGATGCACTGTCAGCACATAAGCCTGGTTTTAGTGTTGACATATTAAATACCTGGTTTGTATAGAAGCCTGATGTGACTAGAAGCCTAGCCCTGACATCGGCTTCTACAGGAATCAGCCCGGCTATTATACGCGACATTACGGGTATATGCAGATCCGTCGATATCAAGTCTTGCTCGGGTTGTGTGGTTCGGCTACCTACTGATGTACGTTATGGAATTTCTAGCTGGACCTAGCTGGTGTGTCACCGTTTAGAGAATAGTATTAAGCTCTTGCTTGATGTGTATGTCTGTGTATCTGTCTGTGTTGTCCACGCCTGCATATCTGTGTATCTGCATGGGTGTTATATCTGTAGTTCCACAGAAGCCGGTGGACAATCTCAGCATCACACCACAGTCAACAGCTCTGCATCTTCAATGGACCAGACCTGATTTGCTTTCTTTGCGTGGAGCGCTGACCCACTATAAGATTGTGTACAATCGTACACTCCTTTCCGGAGTCGCTTTCAATTTGACGACAGCAAGTCTGACTGTGTCAGTCAGTTCTCCAATGAACACTCAGTTTTCTCAAGTCATTGATGGATTAACTGCTGGAAGCAGGTTTGAGGTCTCTGTTGAGCCCTGTAGGCTGTCTATATGTGGACCAGCTGCAAAGAGGGCTGTCAACACCACAGAGATTGGTTAGTGTGTCTATTGGTGGTCTACATGTAGGGTGCACTGGAATTCTATTCATGCCATTCTGACACTGCATTCAGCTGTCAACTGGTGCTTTCCCAACATTTCTGATATTATCTGGCTGTTTCACGCATGAGTGAATGCACTCCTTTCAAACTACATTGCTGGACAAAGTTCGGTGAAAAGTAATACAGTATTAACGAGACAACCCACCCACAACACCCTCAGCCAGAATCCAGGATTTAGCTCTGGATTGTGCGGAAGCTACATTTTTGGTGTGCGTGTGTAAACCTGCTGAAATGCTCTGGTACATGGTAGTAATGAGATCAGAAGGGCGCACTGTAGTTACGCAAAGATCACATCTCCCTATCAAAGGGAGGAGAGTAACATTCCGTTAGCCTAATAAAATGAAACACACATTCATCGCAATTTGAGAAGAGAAAGTATGTACTGGGGTACGACTGGGTTCTTTGTTCTTACTGCAAAAAAAGTTGCCGAAACTCCTGTGTACATAGGCACTGCACTAGTGACGTCATCAAAAGGCCATTTTAGCAGACAAACACAACCTAAAGGTGCAGGGTTCCAAATCCTTTTGGATTCTGGGTGATGCTGGCCATTCTTCCGGTTCAATAGATGTGTGTAGAATTGGTTGATAACCATTATTGCCGGGTGTGTCTTTACCACCATATCTATCAACCATAAGTCAGCTGCAGTGTTGTCTTCAACTTCATTCTCCCGTGTGCAGAATTGTTTGAGAAATAAATACCGGTAATAGTGTTTGTGCTACTCTGTGTGGATTCTTGGTATTGAACTGCAGCTGACAGGGTGGTACAGCAGCATAACATTGTCATGTGTATAAACTACACAGTCAATCCGTTTGCTGTACATGTATCTATCCTGTGTGTCTATTCTATATTATTCTATGGTGTAGCTACGGTGTATCAATTCATTCAATTGTGTGTCTGTTGTGTGTCTATTGTGTGTCTATTGTGTGTCTGTTGTGTCTATTGGTGTGCAGCTCCGGATGGAGTTGTGCTAGGACCCAATGTGACATCATTGTCGTCAACTGCCGTTTCCATTCATTGGTCTCTACCCATGCTGCAAAATCGACATGGCCGAATTCTCTCTTACTCATGGTCTCATGAGCGCCTGCTGCAGGCAAATGTTTCAAGTCGCACTTCAGCCTTTTCGGGTTTGTCACTGTCAAGGACACTAACGGCACACAACCTTACAGCTGGCAGCTTGTACCAGTTTTCCATCAGTCCCTGCAATGCGTTTGGCTGTGGTACTCGACTTCTATACAACATCTCCACCCATGAACAGCGTACGTTCATACTAGCTACACTGTACGCGTTGTGACCTTTGTACAGAGCTGACAAGTGAAATCACACCTCATGGAGCCATCATGTTCACAGCACAACCAGCACAGCCAGTGTGTGTAGAGCTATGGCTGAGCTGCACCCGCACTGTTATGTTCATGAGGCTGGGCTGCGATATGCATGAGGTTGGAATGCTTTACGCGTGAGGTGGACCGATATGTTGATGAAGTTGAACGGTTAGGTTATACACACTTGAGGGGAATCAAAACCGTTTCTGCTGTAACTCTGAGTTTCACGGTTTTAACCGATCATCAGACAGCAACTTGACTACAATTTTCAGAAGATATGATTGATATAGGCTGCAAGCTTTGATCATAGTGCAAATGGATGATCCGGGCTGATAGTGCAATTATGAAAATGATTGCGTGAGTTGGTTGACGAGCCGCATGCACAGTAGCACTACATTGCATATACGATGATCTTCCTGCCTCTGCGCACATGCATGCATATGATATGTCACACTTGATTTATAGTGTGTGAGAAATACCGGAAACAAGAATAGAAAGTCGTTTTTCAAACACCCACACTATAACCGATACCTACTGTACTTGCATCTATTTCTATTTCGGCAGTAGCAGCATGCTAGACATGAAAATAATTCTCTCACTTTTGCTATGTGCTTACAATGTGTTTTTATATTTTCTGTCAACTCGTAGGCCCCGCAACGAAAGTAAATTTACTCCCGAACTTTCCAGTCGAGGCCAATGCATCAACGCTGTTCTGGACGGAATTGCCACGCGATGATCGGCGTGGAGTGATCACATCCTACACTTGCTTCTATGACCGCATCCAGCAGGCTGGTGTGCTGGGTAGGAACTTCTCAGGAGAGGAGGTGGTCGTTGACCGGTCATGTCGCCTCTCCAATCTGACTTCCGGCAGTGTCTATGCGGTGGCAGTCATAGCTTGCACTGCTGTGGGCTGTGGTCCTGCTGCAAGCATTAATTTCACAACCTTGGAAATAAGTAAGTCCAGTGCATTGTATCTACAGCTGACCTGCATACCGTTATCCTGCACTATCTCATCTCTCTTCCTGTTTTTGTCGCCGATTTTGCAACTCGAAGACCAGATGGGCTGGGAGTTTCACTCACAAAAAAGCACAGAAATAATGAAAGTGTACGAGAAAGTAGTTCAATTTGAACAACCAAAAGTCCAAAACTAATCAAAAATGCCATCTCTCTAGAAAGGCGCAGTTTTCTGCTAGCCTGCACTTATTCCTTGGTGTTTTTAAAAGTCACCATCAGTTATGATCATGCTCGATACTTGCTAACAGTTGCAAACTGTGCTTATCAATTACTGGGAAGGCTTTTCAGCCACCAAAGTGCTGGTAATAGGCTGGCCAAGTCATTCACAACCCTGATCATGAAACCTACAATGGAGAACTGTGATCCCAAATGGTCTGGCATAAGCTGCCTTCGTTATGGGTTTTTTTCACAAACGAAATGAAAGTAGCATTCATTCAATGAAATTGAACACCTGAATATAGTCACTATAACCAACATCTCAATTGTTAACTAATATAGGTAATCATTAACCAAGTTTTCAGTGTTCGTTAACCCATAAGAAAGGCCCATTCTCCTTTGCCAGGAGTTGATGATGGCTTGGTTCCATTCTTTCCCAACTCAAATAAGTTGAATACCACCAACCAAACATCAAGCACATAATTATAAGAACTTGATCAATCCAATCTGCTCAAATCTCTTTAATTCCCGTAGCTATGCAGAAGACGTTACTTCAGTAACGTCTGGCGCTAGCCAGGGTCCACACAGCTTTAATTTGGTGTTTGTTTGTGTGTTTGTTTGTGTCACGCCTGGCGCTATCCGTATCTGACGGCAAAAAAGCATAGGATGTTATAAATTTTTCAATTCTCCTTTTTTTCAGGCATATCCTGGGATTCGAACCCGCACTATCGCCCTACATGCATTCCCCCATACGCTTCGCATTCATACCCATTCTTCCAAGTTGCGTTACGTTATTATCTTGCGTTTGAAATCCCTATTTGAATATTGCGGGAAGCTGTATGTGGCCAGCTGTGTTTGATGGTACGGTACGGTACTGGAGACGGTGTCGTATTACCCTCGATCGTACCTGTCCCGTCCCTATCCCCTACCGTACCGTGCCATCAAAGACGGCTGGCCACAATGCATATAACTCAAATAGGGCTTTCAAATGCAAGATCACAATGTGAAACAACTTGGAAGAATTAGTATGTATGCGAAGTGCATCGGGGGATGAATGCAGGGCGCGCGATAGTGCGGGTTCGAATCCCAGGTTATGTCTAAAAAAAGGAATTTTTAAAGAATTTATAACATCCCTATGCTTTTTTTTGTCTAGGTCATCAAGGCAAAAAAGCATAGCGTAGGGCCCTGAGCTTCCAAGCTCTCTCGTAGGCCATTCACACGACGGGCACACTTACTTTTATCGTACTGTTTCCAAGGATATTTACTCGGATACGATAAACTTGGACACACGCGTGCAACTGATTTTTTATCTTGGCCGAGGCCCTTTTGCTAGCGATTATCTTTGCACGCCAGGAAAAGTGTCGGTTGTTGAAAGTGCGTACTGCAAATGCAGTGCATGAACAAGGGAAATTTCAAAATTGAACATTTCCCGGCATTTTCAGGAGGTCACTATGGATACATTGACGGTTGCAAAGTTTGCCCAGCACCGTGTGAACTGAATCACGGTTTGCCAGTGTTATCTTGGTCACACATGTGCAAGTGTTTACACATCGTGTGAATGGCCTATAAAGGGGAAGTTAAGGCTAAAATCAAATTTTCACCAGTTGTAGTCTTCGGGGTGCTGAGTCGAATGGTCTTGGTCCGAGGAAGCTGAGACGCTCCCTTCCTACTTTAATCCCAATCGAACTCGCGCACTTCCACCGAAACTGGGTGACTGCGCCCTACTAGATGGGGATTTGTATGCAAAATGTCAGTAAAAGCGCCATTTCGTTCTTATAAAAGCACGGATGACCGCGATTGGCCCATGTGTTGTAGTCTTTTGGACGCTGAGTCGACTGGTCTTGGTCCGAAAAGGCTGCGATGCAGCATTCGGCCCTTATTCCCAATCGAACATGGTTGAACAAGCGGTCACGTGCTCGTGCGTACACCAGTCACCTGGTCACCGTGCCTGCAGGGTACAACTTACTAGCCTGTTTGACCTTTTTTGGGTGCAGTCCTGTCACTCAAGTTGAACTCGAGTTGAATCTTGGTGTGAAAGTTATCACCTGCTGGCGCTGTGACCAGGTGAATTGGGCACGCAGGAGCACGTGACCGCTAGTGTGTCGTGCAACGACTTGCTACATCATAATTCTCAAAGTCATCCACGCGACTTTTGTGCTGTCCACACTGCACTTTCCACAATGCCTTTGAAAGCACTAGATCTAGCGTATCATTAGCATATTGGCGTACTGTCTGGAATAACAAACCACACGTTTGCATATGGTTGCCGCCAGCCAGCTTACCTTCTCTGGCAGATAGTTTCTCTCTTCGGACCTTTCCAAAGCACCTTTTATGGCTCCTTGCCCCTGTATTTTACTTCTTGTTCGTTTTGTAGTCTGCCCAATCCCTCTAACAGTAACGTGTACAGTAGTCATTGCCGCTAACCGTCGAAGTGTCCGTTGTGACCAGGAAGTGGCCCGATTCACGCGCCCCCTTAGCAGGCGGAGGCCTAAATTTGCTTTGAAAACAGCATTAACAGCGAGCAACAATGATCTGCTCAGACCTTTGCAAAACGTTTGCCTGAGTGACAATGATCTAGCCGACGGTAGGTTTCACCACACATACTATGCTACTAATTACTCTTATGTTATTGTCCGTGTGTATTCATGCAGAACCTTCATCCTCAGTGGT